GTATTCCGCAATACAATAAAGATGGTTATTTACATAAAACGCGAACGTAGGTCCTCCTTATAAAAAAAAACTCTTTAGTATATAAAGGCGAGGCCACACCTGCGGTGCGCCGGTAGGCTGGAATAATCCAGGAGCGCAATCTCGTATATAATTCACGCACCATTTGCGAGCCGCGTGACTTCCACCCCTATTACATGTAGTGATGGCAAGGGAAAGATGGCAATAGAATTTTTATGGCAAGTTGAGCATAGTTTCAGGACATTGAAGATACCTGTAGATGTGATATAAATACAAAGTTTCAGCGCAATAGCTGCTATTAAGCGTATCGGAAATCGATCGTATTGGATAAATATTTTATAACTAGTTTTACTCACGCTTACTTTCAACTGCCCTGCCCGGCTTATGGATGTGTAATGTAGGCTATAAAACAACTTGTTGTTTTATAGCCTACAGCCTCTTTCGATAAGGCTGTAGGCTGTCTATACAATACAAAAAGATTTTTTCAAATCGAACCATTAGTTCCAGATATTAGCGCGTTCAAATATATGAAAAAACTCTTAAAAAAAGTATAAGAAAAAGCCTCTGACGCAGATCATACTATAAGAAGGTTTGATTATTAAGTCAGTAGTAGTAGGTAGGTACTAATAAATTTACTCAAATGTCATTATAAACTAATTAACTGTGTAAATTATTATTATTAGTATAAACTCTCACATGATATTACGTGTAATCGATTGGCTCGTTTGTCGTGCTACGGTAATTATCATCCAAGCTCATGAATATACAGCTCATGTTGCATTTTCAGTGTAACGTTATTCTATAATTAATTAATTATTAATTAGTAAAGTAAAATAGCATTAGGTACTTACAAACCCGATGCAGATACGGTTCCAGTACATATTGTTTTTTTATTTTATTAACACCTTTCTACAAACCTTTCAAAATTAGAATTAACAAAGTCAATTCAGATGTTGTTAACTTTTTTCAGCCATACGAATACCAATTGATGTTATATGTATTGTGTATCAGAATTTATCCCAGATTATAAAATTCCCAGTACCTAATGTAATAAAGCATAGTAAAAGATGCCACGACTAAAGTAAAGCTTCAAGTAAATAGGTTGCTTATAAGTAGGCGTTCTCCATCATAGGCTAGCCTACGATAGAGCACGCTTGCAGTGATGATACAGCTGTATTATTATTTACGACCAGGTGAGATACTGGCCATACGCCGATCCAGTATCAAAAAAAATCTCCAGTTGTTTTATTTTCATTGTCGAATTATGTAGGGTACTCCAATATCCACCCTTATTTCAAAATGCAACAAACATTGTCGGTCTGTAACTTAAAAACAACCTTGAGAAATGATAAGAAAATTCGGGAGCTTCACTAATAAAGCGTGCACCTATAGCCGTCGGATATTGGCGAGGCCGGCCTCGTTGTCTAAGCGGCACTAAGCACCCTACAGCCGAGGCCGCCCTCAGCACAAGGCCACCGAACGCTCCCAAATCAATGTGAGAGCTTCAATAACGTCTCCACAGAGGTTAAGAGCCACACTTCCACAAGCTGCCTTGTCGTAATTTTGTTTGATTTTTTATTATTATGGTGTAGCTGAGCCGTGATGATACTCATCACTACTGAAGAGGCACTTTCTCCACTGTTATCATAAAAGTATCTTATTGTTATTCTGCGTGAGATTTAGAGGTATGGGGTAGAATATTCACCATACTTCTTTGTCTTCGAAAAGATCTGATATAAATATTCTTTCATTATCCGTAGAGATTTCATTACAATAACTTTCCTTTCATTGTTTATACCACAAAGTCTAAAATTGAATGGCTCCATGAAGTCCTAGGCAATGATCTGTAAACCTATAACGACTTGAGCTGTGTTTAACGGTTGTTAAATCTGATATTGTCGTTTCTGGCTGTACCTAACTTGAATTGGTATCGTTCAAGTTTATGTAATGAGTCCCAGCAACTTACTTAGTTTGTACAATACTCACTATGTATATTTAAATCAAAATAATACTACTGGTTAATGTCCAAATGATTATGGAGCATGTTTATTATTTGTTCTATATTTTTAAATATTAAATTCAAGAATATACTGAGTGTTTGTTATAGTCGGGTGATTTTAGAATATTTTGTAATAAAATACGTAATAAAACCAAGGATAATAAATTTCACTAAATAATACCCATTGCCACATTCAAAAGCTTTACCTACAAAACAACAAAGATCCTACTGGATCTATACGAGCGACAAACACCGCCATCTTCTAAGCTATAGAAATAAATAACAGGATAACAGTTACTTCTGATCCTGGTGTATTGATCACTTTTACAAAGAACATCGCCCAAATGTATTTCTTTAATCAAAACAGTGTATGAATCGGGTAACATTGACTAGTGACGTTTTAAACTGACGTCGAAAACTTATTTCAAAGGCAGAACTGTCGCTTGTGATTAATTAAATATCGTAACAAAATACAAAAGCTCGAACAGAAGCGAGTGAATGAGCGTCATCGTCGGTGAACGTTAATATTATGACAAGGGCCACGCTCTCGAGCTGACTTCGTAAAACCTCACAATCTACTGTAGATGAACAAAGAACTTCATTACGCTTGCGATTCCAACAGAGAGCCATCCGGATACCAAATAAAGTGCCGAATAATGGCGACGGAACAAATGAAAACAAATAGGAAAAGAGCGGGCCTGATAAATTGCTTGTGTTGTGTGCCTTTATTTTATTGCCCAACATTATTTACAACACGACGTTAAGGGTCATCATTGGTATTTAAAAGATTTGCTCCTCGCGTTGATCTTGCAAAGGATAATTGATTATAGAGATTACTACGATGGAATATATCGGACGTACTAACTTTAATACAGTGTTTACCTGATATTTATATCAGGTGTATAAAACATACACAATATACCTTCATAGTCATAGTAGTAGTGTTCATATTAACTATTGCATCTCATAAAGTAACAAATATGTAACACACATATATATAGGTGTGAATTCAAACGAAAACAACGTAATTCTGCATCGGTAGAACGTATCCGAAATCCATTTCAAATAAACTCGTGTGATTTATTCTTTAGCGACTGTGTGCTGGAGAAATTCAGATTTACTCGTACCTACATTCTTTAGAAGGAGCTGGGGGCACCACATTCCGCGCAAGTGACGGTAACGCCCTAGGTATGGTAGAAATGACGTTACTCGTGAACGGCGCGCATCGATGTGATGCTAATGGCGCGTAAATAAAATACGAGCTTTCGGAGACGAACACGCTGACTCGCGTTACACAAACTCGGCACTCGAGCCTCGCCTCCAACACCCCACTCTCACCACTATATCGTATTACACATGTGAAATTAAAAACCCCGCTGTATATAACAATTTTAATCCCATTCCGTACGAATATCGCGAGCAACTTTCAACTTTTATGTATCTCTAATGAATTTTACACTCGCGCAATAAATGGAAACAAAAGCATTCCAGTTGAGTCTTAATATTAAAAAATATCCGGTCTGAATTATTTTATCGTTGTTGTAAACAGAATTTAATATTGCTTGTACCGTCGAATCACACATTAAACATTTACATTCGCTTCGGACAAAATTATATGTAGGTAAATAAAGACGCAAAAACATTTTCCCTATATCCATGATATTATATTATGATAGTGTTGGAAAAATATTGAACATTGGAAAATATTACAATACTACTGTTGCTCGTGACTTCGTCCACATATAATATGAATTTTGGGACATAACTCTTTTTTTGCTTCAATTTTCCAAAATAAAAGTAGCTTATTTTACTCATTAGCAGCTACCTGCCAATGAAAGTCTCGTCAAAGTCGGTTCATCCATTCCAGAAACTATTCAGTACAAATAGACAAAAAAAAGATGAAAAATATAGAGTAAAAACCGGTTGTTTTAGTATTACAAACACACACTCCAATTTTATCTGGGATAGATGTAGGTACAGCTATACTACAAAAGACTTTACATAATGTTGATGCTTATCATAACAGAATTAACAAAGAACTCAGCGTCAACAAGGGCGGTATCATGAAGACGTCAGTTTCTAACTTTACCACAACCGCTTTCGAGATAACGATAGCAGGATAGGCGCGTGTCAGACGATGATTACATAACCTTCGGTTAGGCCGACTGCGCAAACTTACCCGTGGGGATCTACAGCCTTATTTTTACGTATGAAGTTAAACATATTTCAAGTCTCCTACGTGATTTGGATACATATTCGGTACTAGGTGTCTCGCATGCCGACGATAACGTTAAAGAGAATACGAAATCGAATGTCTCACCATTATTAGGTACAAGATAATGTAATGCGGTATTCATATTTTATATACATTCTGCTTGCTTGTATACACTAGGCTATGAACGTAAGTGTGACAATATACTAAAACTTTATCATTTTAGACGTTAATATTCGGTGAGAACACGATTAACATGGTTAATTACACATATATTTGTTTTAAAGTCGTAAACGTGGCTTATCCTGGACTTAATTTTAGTTTATTACACTTAAAAATGTTAATGTAACCTTAACTACAAGTAGCCCATTTTGTTTAGATATTATAATTGAGTTTGCACATTTAGTGTTCCCTTTCTTTCTAATCTTATATAAAAATTAAATTTTTAACCTGACGAAGAAACTTCAACTGGGGTTTTTCAGCCAGCCCAAATGCCCCAAAAAAAATCTAAGACTTTTAGTAAAAGTATTTTTTGTAATTCACTGAAAATATCGTCAAGTTACAATAACAGGCAAAAATTATTTTATTTACTCACATTAATCACTTCTCTATAATCAGAAGGTCACTCAACACCCTTTTTTTTACCAACAGGAAGAGTTGGAGGACAGGCCTCGAGCCGCAACGTTCCTCAGCTCGTTGGCGAACTACTCCAACACGATCCCTACGGCATCTGCCGCCGACCCTGACGTCAAGCCGGCACCACCAGCTCGGATGGGCACCCTTATTGGTGTCTATCTCCCTTGCATCCAAAACATCTTCGGTGTGATCCTCTTCATCCGTCTCACATGGGTCGTTGGAACTGCTGGTGCTATTCAAGGATTTCTGATTGTTCTCGTTTGCTGCTGTACGGTAAGTCTAATTTTGTTTACAAATATTCTTTAATCTATTTTTGTATTGTGGTATGTAGTTTCATTGATGTACTTTTAATTAATGTTGAAGTAAAAATACCACTCTAAAATGTTACCTACGGAACCCAAAATTGTGAAGACAAGATTCTATAGGTATTTCTTGTGAACGTCTACAAAAATACTTACTCTAAGTACTTCATGATTTGTAAAATTTTCCAACTACCATTAATCTCTCTTGAATACTGCTAAGTATCCATATTTTTCCCGAGAACTGTCAGCCTACGTCTCATCTAACTAGTTTTATTATTACTGAGATGACGCGTTAGAAATAATTTCAACGGGTAATTGATCATAATGTCTCTCACCTAACCACAAGCATTGAATTTTCTGCGAGTTTTACAGTATAGATAATAATATCCAACTCAACCGTACTGTAAATAATTGTGTAACAATAAACATCTATTTATGTTTCGCTCGTATTTTAAGTAAATAACAACGCAATATATAATATAATCAGCGCTACCCGAACAAGACCGTGGTTGAGGTACCTATTTTGAATAAAATTACCTACGCATGGAGCTATTCATATTCGTCGAAGCAGGGGGCGATGACGCACGAACCACAACGACCGTAATATACTTCTGTATCCAAATAGAGTGGGAACAAAAACAATTGCTTGTTCGTTTATCGCTGTACCTGCCACGAAACAAAAATACGAGAGAATGAAAATAACTCATCTTTCGCATTGTATTCCCAGCGCAGCCTTATATTTGCTTCAGATTACGTTATTGTTGCGTAGAATTTCCCCCGGGTCTGTCCGAGTTTCATGTCTAAAGCTACAATGCTGGCGCATCTAATAATGGTCGATCCTTCAACTTATCTAATTTAACTTGCCGACGGTTTATTAAATCTCCTAGACACTTAACTGGATTATTTGGCCAGTCAAACTAGATTATTGTTATTGATGTTACCTAATACTAAATTTTATTTGATAAAATCTAAACTAACTGCGACTATTGGATAGAACGTCTGACCTTTATTGTGACTTTTATGTTATGAGTCGTTGTCCAGTCCCTTGGCAACCCTCTTCTCTTTATTTTATATATTAGATAATATGGCAAAGGTTACATGTTGTGTCTGAAATGTTAAAAAAGGTTTGTGTCTAGAGACATTTCTATAGAGTTAGGGTCTGTATAATGTGAATAAAGTTGTTTTGAAGACGTTAATAGTTTAAGAAAACAATATTGATGTTCTTTTTTGTTTTCACAGACAATGTTAACTGCTATCTCGATGTCTGCGATTGCGACGAATGGCGTGGTGCCGGCGGGCGGGTCGTACTTCATGATAGGGCGCGCGTTGGGCCCCGAGTGCGGCGGCGCGGTCGGCATGTTGTTCTACACCGGCACCACGCTCGCAGCTGCCATGTACATCGTCGGAGCTGTTGAAATTGTTCTGGTAAGTACCTTTTTCGAGCTTAGAGAAGTAATCTAAGTTTTTATATTAATCTAAGTTTTTATATTCTTACCACACTCGGTTACGTGAGTTTACGTGACACTTTTGACCATTGGATCAACGAAGCAAATAGGACGACGTTACCTCCGTTGAAATCATAAAACCGCTTGCCAGTTAGTCACGTTTCTGTCAGAAGTCAGAAAGCTATGCGTCATGTTCAAAATGACAAGGACAGCAACATGCCGTTTTCTCCTTCTACTCCAACAATACTAATTTAAAAGTAGATATTCACAATTTGAATAAAGAAAAATGATGGAAATGTCATTTGTTATTATGGCATTTTCTTTTCATTAAATTGATCGTTTGTAATGTTAACTCCTATAAAACTTCTGTGGCAGCGCGCCGCAACTTGCGAAATGTACTAAATTGTAATATTATTTTTGTTGAGATTATTAAAATCGTAATCAGTCTAGAAGGATACAAGTGCGGGAGAGCCATGCTTCGGCACGAATAGGCCGGCTCGACCGGAGTGATACCACAGCCTCACAGAAAACCGACATGAAACAACGCTTGCGTTGTGTTTCGTCGTGTGAGTGAGGTAAACGGAGGCCCAATTATCCCCCACCTTCCAGAATCTCTCCAATCCCCGAATCTCTAACAATCCTTAAATTCCTAAACCCAATTGACCGGTTACGCACGTGTAACGCCTCTGGTGTTCCAGGTGTCCATGGGCGACAGTCGACTCATTTACCGGCTTATCCCATAAAAATAGGATGGTATAAAACCAAAATTAACACAATATAATTAAGAAATACCATCAATAGTAACGGTATAAGCAAAAACACACTGCCTTCCTCTATCTACAATATAAATACATAGGTATAATAAGGAAAGGAACATTTCCACCTTCCTAAAACTATAGAGATGTCATTAGTTTAGCTAATTACAGCTGGTCGTTGCTAAGCAATTTCGTAAATAGAACACGACTGTTTATTATCTCTAGTTTTACCTTCTCCTAGAGGATAATAATTATGATTTGTTAGTATACAGTAAAAGATAACTATATTAATCTATATATTATCAAATTTTTTTGTTTGGATGTTTGTCCGTCAATCACGCTGAAACTACTGAACGGATTTTGATGATTTTTTTTATACAGGCAGGGTACGAGCTGAGGTAGGTGATAGGACCCCTTATCCCGATTAAATGCTCCCATGAGATAAAACAATGAATCATAATTATAAAGTATAAAGGTAGTTATTTTCATAATTTCTAATCTTGAGTTGACCAAAGTCACTGAAGGCAAGTCACGTTCGGTATCCAAACCGATTAAATGATAAAATGATATTCTACAAATAGTTTATACTTTGTTACAAAGTAAAACTATTATATGTGAGAATTTTACCGAGAAACGTCTATTTATGCTTTTTACTGAGATTAGAGTCTAAATAACTAGATAGAAACTAGACTGCCTCGTCGGCCGAGTGGTCGCAAGTGCGACTCGACTGCGGCAAGGGGTCTCGGGTTCGATTCCCGGGACGGGCAAAGTACTACTAAGTTTAAAAAAAAATCTCAATTGTAGCTCGGAGTCTGGAATTGTGCCCGGTATATGGCAATATGCTCACCCTCTATTACATGGGACTCATAACATAAATAGTGAAAAGTGGGTGTTACATTGTACAGTGGCATTAAGTGCCATAATGTGCACCTCTACCTACCCCTTTGGGGATAAAAAGGTGCGATGTTATGTAATGTGTAACTAGAAACATGGCTAAGAACTTAAGAAAAATGATAACATTTCACAACTTAACTTGGAAAGTATTAGTATTAAAAGTGCACCTTTCCGCGCTCATTCAATAAATAACTGACTTTGTATTTTTCTCAATTACCACGAGTGCTAAAGTAAAGGATGATAGTATTTCATGTCATTATCGTATGCAGATTATCTGCGCATTAAGCTGTCCAGTGCTGAATGATACAAAGTTAATATTCATCAGACCACTAATTACTCTTTTGCATGATTAAGCACATCGTTTGCATTCTGCTTGCGGTCAATAACACGCATGAATACGTCAATGGAAACCCGAGTGCTCTAATCATAATTTATAATTAAAGTAGACTTTGAATAGGATAAATAATAGAGCTAGAACCATGCATGCAGTTACAGATGTGTGATTGCCAAGGTTTTTATGTAAGTCATTTTCCTTGTGTATACCTACTTATAATTTTTTTTTTTTGGGTTCCTTTCATAGATATAAGTTTTATATTTCTGTGATTGCCACTGTATTAATAACTTTTGGTGACACTATAGAGATGGCATGATTATGTTTAATCAAATCTCTGTTATTTTAATAAAGATAAAAAAAACTTTAATAACTTATGGGTAATTGTGATTTACGACTATAATTTTATCACTGTTTCAACAATGAATAATTAAGTCCGATATTTTCTTTGGTTTTTTGTCTTGTGGTTCGATTCCCGAGTCGGGCAAAGTATTACTTGGTTTGTAAAAACCTCAGTAGTAGCACGGAGTCTGGAAATGTGCCCGGTTATGGCTATAGGCTCACCCCCTATTACATGGGGCTTATAACATAAATAGTGAAAAGTGGGTGTTACATTATACAGTGGCATTGAGTGGCGTAATGTGCACCTCTGCCTATCCCTTCGGGGATAGAAGACGTGATGTAACAAGTGCAGAAGAATTGTAAACTGAAAACTTGCATCCCTAAGCAAGTTTTCATTACAATACAAATTATAAAAATGTACGTAAACATAAACACGTTACAAGCCAAATGTGCCAAGAATAGAATTATATCACAAAACGTAGCCGGTACTCTGTGTCTAACTAATCTCACCCTTATCGTAACTGCGACATAGACTACATTCATAGCCCCTCGCTTACATAATAAGACTTCATAATCCCCATCTCCTTGACAGACGTACATGGCGCCGTGGATGTCGATCTTCGGGGACTTCACGAAGGACCCCGAGGCTATGTACAACAACTTCCGAGTGTACGGCACCGGGTTACTGCTGATTATGGGGATGGTCGTATTTGTCGGCGTCAAGTTTGTCAACAAGTTCGCGACCGTCGCCCTGGCCTGTGTGATCCTGTCCATCACTGCTGTCTACGTCGGAATCTTCGTAAATTTCAACGGAAATGATAAGCTGCAGTGAGTATTTCTGTTATTTATTTGTATGCAAATAGTTTTTTTTTTACAATAGATCATAAGGCTCTTTTAATTCAAACTTAGTTCAAGTCAACTCAAATAGGTTTAATTAACATACATAGTATTTGCTATTACCTAATATAGATACATATTTTCGTTAGTATCAATGGTTACAGAGGTAACCAACCACGTATTTCTTCGTAACATCAATGTGTTACGAACTTGTAAAATGTATAAGTGACCTTTGTTAACAACAATAATAACAGATTGTCCAGTACAATAACAATTAAGTACCAGTGCTAACTAAATTTATGTTTTCACATAACGACCAAAAGTTAGCAATTCAGTACAGAAACATGAGCACCCTCGCATTAACTCGAAGTATACCGAGTAAAGTCGTGACTGAGATAGTCGCACTCATTAGGCCCTTAATGGCACACACGAGATACTGAATTTCAGAGATAACATCACCCAGCTTTTACAACATTTTGTAGCTAAAAAAGTTTTAAAGTATAATTAGGCTCGCCACCATCAATCTTGTTAGCGTCGCCAAAAACGAGGAGTTTTTGCTTGAGTTTTTGTGTGAACCATTTTATTTTATCGCGGAATTACGATTTTACAAGAATTTAAGGCGACATAAAAACACAAATTCCTTGTTTCTAGAAATTATGACTTTGGTCTTTGTCTGTTGTCGAGAACATTTTGTGTTGGGATGATCTTTAAATGTCTTGCAGTATATAGCGAATTGCCAAACCTGTGTTAACAAAAGCTCGTTGTGGCTTTACCCACTTTAACGTTAAATGTGACATACATTTAAATTGTAAATGCTTTGTCACTAGAATGTGTGTGCTGGGTAAACGTCTACTGAAGGACATCGACATCAATAACTGCACGAAGACGGTTGGAGCGCCGCTGCACCAACTGTTTTGCCACAACGATACCTGCGATCCTTACTACCTGGCACACAACGTCTCCATCGTACAAGGCATCAAGGTAAGACACGGACTTATTGCTTGAAATTATGTAACATCTTTGTTTATATTAAGTTGATGACTTTCGTATTAAAAATATCTAAACTCAACCAGATCTTATCCTCAACTTGACCTCACGGAATCCACGATTTGATTCAATAAACTCAAAATAATTGTGATATTTTATATAAAACCAATAATTGCATAATTGAAAGTTACGGCTTAATCAACAAACCTTTACAACTTCTAGGGCTTGAAAAGCGGAGTTTTCTTCGACAACCTTCAAGACTCGTTCCTTCAACTCGGCCAATATATTGCTTACGGCAAGGAACCTGAGGATATCGAGCAGATGGAAAGACCAACTTACAACCAAGTTTATGCTGATCTCACTACTACCTTTACCATCCTCATCGGAATCTTCTTCCCCTCCGTAACTGGTAAGAACTTAAGTATCGTCATTGATTTTTTAATGCTTTACCATAAGAAATTGCACAGTAAAGCTACTTGCTTGGATTGTAACTTTTTACTAGTACTAAATTTAAGGCCAGGTGGCGTATTAGGACGTCTTAAAGCCAGGGTAGTTCCGCTGAGGGAACAAGATCTCGTTAGACGACTTGTATAGCTCTGTTTCTTTCCCTCAATGGAACCATTCTGACTTTAGGACGTCAAAATAACCCCGCAGGACAAAAACTTGTTTCTCTGATTAATCAATGACTATTTTCGACAGGTATTATGGCTGGTTCTAACCGTTCGGGTGACTTGGCTGACGCTCAAAAGAGTATCCCTATAGGAACGATCTGCGCTATCCTGACCACTTCCACCGTCTACCTGTCCTGCGTACTTCTGTTCGCTGGCACTGTTGATAACTTGCTTCTCAGAGACAAGTAAGAGATTCTTCTAGAATAATTTCAATTAAGCAAAATTTTTCTAGAACATTATTGAATTTCGTTAAAAAATGTTTATTCTTACTTCTAGGTTTGGTCAATCTATCGGTGGAAAACTCGTGGTAGCGAACATGGCGTGGCCGAACCAATGGGTGATACTCATTGGTTCTTTCCTGTCAACCCTGGGAGCTGGTCTGCAATCCCTCACCGGAGCCCCACGACTGCTACAAGCTATTGCTAAGGATGAAATCATTCCGTTCTTAGCACCGTTCGCCGTCTCATCCAGCCGGGGTGAACCAACAAGGTAAGGCAAAGCTAAAAACTGTGTAATTAATTTTGTTTGTAATGTATTTATAATTTTTTAATGTATATAGAGGTAGATTATGGTATTCTATATGAGTCTATGAAGCCTAAAATAAATGAATAAATAAAAAAATATTGCTGTAGATATGATTAGTAGAAACTCTTAAATGAGCAGGTTCAATTCAACAAATGTACGAAACACTATTCTTCTTAGTTATATTGTATTCAAAGCAACAATATGAAATACTTAAAAATCAAAAGCCTTTACCAAATCTTCTGCTTATAAGAGAATATGCTTTGTATTTCCAGGGCCCTGCTTCTAACGATGGTGATCTGCCAATGCGGTATCCTTCTTGGCAACGTCGACATCTTGGCTCCTCTACTGTCTATGTTCTTCCTCATGTGCTACGGCTTCGTGAACCTTGCCTGCGCTCTGCAGACCCTCCTTAAGACTCCCAACTGGCGACCTCGGTTCAAGTATTACCACTGGTAAGAAGATGTTTGTTCTAAGATCTTTACAAGGCAGTTATTTCGTCATGAAAAAATGGACTCTAAAAACAAACTACTAAAGACTATACATATCAATGCAAATGCAGATGGTAAAGTGAAAACTGTAACGCCTCAACATGTTTTGCCACAATTGGCGTACAAAATAATCATAAAATTTTTAAAACTATTAAAGAGACAACTCAAGTTAAAATATTATTTAAAAAATCCTTAATATGGTAATATCAATGCTTGATAAGTAAATTTCTCAGTTCTTTATAAAAAAAAATTATTGTTGTTTATATTTTTCAAATTAAGCTGAATTTTATTATATGGTATATGGTGCCATACAAAACACACTTTTACGGAGAAGTGCTGTTTTCGCAGAGTGAGGCTGTAGATAATGCTTATATTTCTTGCATCTATTCCTAACAATATTATCTGCTAATGCCCGGTTTCTGAAGTTCCCAGTTATACTATCACATACTATCGATTCAATGAAATTATGGAAAAGATAAACTTAGTTAACTATCATTACATGCGGGAAGAGCCGTTTGTTAACTATGACACCTATAGCTAGTTCCTTATTGCGCCACTAGAGGGGTCTCATTAAACATTAGTGCTTAAAGTTAATTGATTCAGTTAAATTCGTTGTACATAATAGTTTTATTATTATTACATAATTTTCCGTTGTTTATGGCCAGAAATATTTTTTTTATGATTTACAATAATTATTCAAAATTGTTGTGAGACGATGTCAGCGTCTTTATCACTGTCAGGGTCTTTAAAAAATAAAACGTCAAACTCATTGTTTTTGTTCAAAGAGTATAATAAGTATAGGGGTTTTTGTTATCCAACTGATATGATTTTGTGCGTGGTAGGTATTTTGAATTATTATTCGCGCAATGTATACTACAGTTTAAAATTCTGTTATTCTTTGAGTGGCTTTGTATTATTTTGTATTTTAAACTGTCAAACACCAAGCGGTCACCGGTGACCGCGACCTATTGTTCTTTAATTGTGTCTATAAAACCGGTACTCGACGAGTTAAGTACCTAAATTATCGTTGATATGGAATCCGGGACACGTAGCAAAACTTTTACGGAAATAGAAAAGATGCTTCTTTTAAAAGTACTTTATTTATTTATTAATTTATTCATGTACACCACATAGACAATACACAGAAGAATACAAAAAATATATATAACAAAACAGAGGTACATAGGTACTGCATATCCCTTATGGGATTTCTTTCTGCAGCCCTGCAAGAGGAGAAATAAATACATCATACGACACAGTGTGTAACAACAAAAAACAAAACAAACAAACAAGAAGAAGACAGTGAAAACTTAAACTAATAATTAAAACTACTTACAGACTAACAAAAATAATACAATAAAAACATACAAAATAAATATAAATAAGTACTTAAGTACTTATACATATACATCCAACAAAATATAGAAATATAATAGATACACATTATTATACACACTATATGTAAATAATATATAATACTATATAATAATATACATACAATATAACACAATCTGTACTTAAGAGGAAAGGTGATAATGTTCCCTCAAACATTTCAACATTTGGCATAAACATATATCTCCTAGCTAGTTTTGCTATTTCTTTACTTACTTTATAGACAATTCTTGACACAGTGGTTTTGTGGATGTCCATATCATCACCAACTACAACTTGGAAAGTACTCGTTGCATAAAATTTTAATGCAAAAAAATATTGTTCTAACCCAGACAATGTATAATTGCGTTGCATAACGGAAGTTAGAGCCTGCTAATGATATCCTGCTAATGATAGCCCTGGCTAATGATATCACTGAGGTGTATTACAGTGTTCTTCTCAAAACGATATCTCAATTTAAATTCTTCATCAGTAATTATTAGTGTCTAGTATGTTATTACTGAATTTATGGACTCATTTATGTCGGTTACAAATAACTTTTTATCCCTACATGTAATATTGATTGTGCTGTCGTCTGCAAATATCATAGGTTGCACAGTTGTACGAGGGAGATCATTAATATACGTAATAAATAGTGTGGGTCCCAATATGCTCCCTTGGGAAACACCGTATGTAACATGTCTTACTTGGAATTGATATTGTTCTTCTTTTTAGTTTTTAAGTTAAGTTTTGTTGTTTGTGTAATTTTTTCCGACCAGATAGATAAGATTTGAATAGATTTAAGATATTTCCTCTAGTTTACAGGCTAATATTGTATGATCAACATAAACGAAGGCTTGTGTCATGTCACAAAAGAACATAAAATCAAAGACTTTTATGTTTTCGCAAACTCTTTTGTTCGTTGCATAGGATCTTGTTATTTTCTAAATAATTGTTTAATTCTATATTGTAAAAAGTCTCAAATATTTTTGAAAACACAGAAAGAAAGGCAATGGGTCGTTAGTTTTCGACTAATATCTTGTCATTTTTTTTCAATAACGGATTAATAATTGCTACTTTAAGATGATTTGGAAATATGTCTTTTTTTCTTGGGAGATATTAAATAATAATGTTATATGTCGGTTGCAGGTCTCTCTCATTAGCTGGACTCACCCTTTGTATCTCCATCATGTTTATGACGTCTTGGTTCTACGCTCTAATCGCCATGGGCATGGCTGGCCTCATCTACAAGTACATTGAATATCGCGGGTAAGTCTTCTCACTCTATGTTAATCAAAATACTACTTTTTCTATTATATTTATTCCCTTAAAAATCTGACCTAGTTAGATTAGTTTTTGTATTTCTAAATTTAGAAGTTTGATTTACCTCGTGTTTTCAGAATAGGTTTGATAAAAGAAAGCTCATAATTCTTTAACAATACACTTTCAGAGCTGAGAAAGAGTGGGGAGATGGTCTCCGTGGTCTGGCCTTATCAGCTGCTCGGTACTCACTGCTACGTCTAGAACAAGGACCTCCTCACACCAAGAACTGGCGTCCCCAAGTACTGGTGCTTGCTAAACTGAACAATGAACTGATGCCTACCTATCGGAAGATGCTTGCTTTTGCCAGTCAACTGAAAGCTGGTAAGATTTTTTAAATTTAATTTTAAAGTAATGCGAAAACAAGAAGATACTTAACAAAATCTTATAAAAGAAGTGTGGGGTGTTACGTTCTTATAAAATCCTTGTTTCATAACACTCAGCTGCCTATCGCATCTGTCTATTAGTCTGCTCATGATGTATTGTCAAATAGATTTTTATGCGACTTCCACCAGTTGATAACCCTTGCGCGAGAAAAAAGCAACGCGTGGAAACCTAGGACAATATTTTTGAGACTAATGGCTATTTTAATGCCATACTTTAACATCTAACCTGATAAACTCTTTAATGCCTATGTAATGTATTGTCCTTCAGGCAAGGGCTTGACGGTATGCGTATCAGTGCTGGGCGGAGACTTCCCTCGACGTGCTGGCGACGCTTCCTCAGCTCGACACAACCTGCGCCGCTGCATGGATGAGGAGAAACTAAAGGGCTTCGTCGATGTCCTCGTAGCACCTGACATCGCTGATGGACTTAGCCACTTGTAAGCAATATTAAAATTTATTTATATCGACATAAATGTTTTAACTGGATGACAAATCATACTATCCATATAGGCAATGAATCTATTATCATATAATTATGTTTTATTTCTTTACCCATCGGTTTACCACTTGATATATTTTAAACTTTATTGACTTCATTTTTCAGGGTACAAACGACCGGTTTGGGTGGTTTGAAACCCAACACGGTAATCGTGGGCTGGCCGTACGGCTGGCGCGCGGCCGAGCGGCCCGAGCCACGTTGGCAACACTTCCTACACACCGTGCGCGCTGTCGCCGCCGCACGCATGGCCATGCTTGTACCCAAAGGAATTAATTTCTTCCCTGACTCCACTGAGAAGGTACTCGAACAATTTCTGCAATATTCAATACCATGTTGGTTTTTTGGACAAAGAAACATTAAATTAATCACCTGTTTGTTTAAGTAACTAATAATTTTATTAACAAATGACAGCAGATCAAGCTACCCTAAACCGTCATTTAAATTTTCTACTTAATGACAAATATATACAAAGTTTAAAATCTTCCCAATAAGAATGAATTGAAGAAGTTTGATGTGCTGATTCTACTTATAATAAATAATGCCAAACGCAAATCAAAAAACAATGTGTGGTTAAGCCGCAATTAGTAATTTGAAAATTCATTGCTCAGGTATCCGGCAATATCGACATCTGGTGGATCGTGCACGACGGTGGCATGTTGATGTTACTCCCGTTCCTGCTGAAGCAGCACCGCACCTGGAAGAACTGCAAGATGCGCATCTTCACCGTCGCGCAGATGGAGGACAACTCTATTCAGATGAAGAAAGACTTGAAGATGTTCCTCTACCAACTGCGACTTGAGGCTGAAGTGGAGGTTGTGGAAATGGTTAGTAGAATATTAAGTAAAATTTTACTGTGGATAAGCTTTTTTTAAACAAATCATTTAGACAAGACCTGACCCAAAACACGAAAAATTTACGAAGAAAGCATTGAATAATAATGTAACGTTGTATGTAAATGTAATTTCAGACGGACAGTGATATATCTGCGTACACATACGAGCGAACCCTGATGATGGAACAACGTAACCAGATGCTACGCGAACTGCGACTGAACAAGAAGGAAACCATGGGCATGGTGAGTTCAACAACCACATATTACCTAACAATGAAATATATATTATATTGTTATTATAACAATGTTCTCAATTACTTGTTGACTATGTTGTACAAAGCTTTGTATATTAATAACTCTACTCTGACCTAGAACTAACATGTTTGTCTGTCGCCTATATACAGATGCAAAATTTCGTGGATTATCGTGAAAACGCTGAGGAGAAGTTGCCTTTGGTAAAGTGGATATATTAACCCCTGATTCGAGTCCACTTATTTTCTTTAAGAGCATTTTGTTGATAGCTATACGTTGATAGCTCCCGCATTTTCAAGTCTACACTAATTTCTTATTACTTTGATCCAAGCAATGTGTAGATGAATTTTATTTTAAGCTTTCAATTCTTGGTGTATATTAGATTAAATGTTGTCCTCCTAATAGCTAAGATCTTCCACGTTCACAATATCATCTTAATGTACATTTCTATCACCACATCTCCATCAGTTCAGTAATCAATGAATTTGGCTATCTACTCCTAAAATGATTGCTTTTGATGTTTTAGATTCGTTCATCTAAATGTCGTCACTTCTCACTTAAGTCCTTTTGCTATATTATCACTGTTTGCACTTACATTCTATTCTACTTCTATATTACTCTTAAGACGTCAACTTTACCTTTTCTTCTCGATGTGTTTATACTAACGGCATGCAACCTCTTCGATTTACCTTTCATTAATGGATGTTGACCAATCATTTAATTTTTTGGTGTGATATTTTAGCTAATGTCTGTTTTTAGAAGATATATTAAAATTAGGAGTATAAGAAGAAAATCATGGTGTTCAAAAATTTATTTTATACGTCCTATCTAACTCACATAAAATTATGACTCAGAAATGGAATACTTCGTCCAATTCATCAAGCAAAATGCTTCATCGTACTCGCAAAGAGTCTCCGTAGATACACCATCTTTAATTTAAACGAAGTATCACAACTGTACGATTATAATATCACAGTTGAATTTGAATCGTTTGGTATCTTATAAATATACTTATATATATAAGATATCGTTTAGTATCATGTCCAGGATTGACTGTAATAAACTGAATTAATAAAAATACAGTGAATCTTAAATATGTTTTACATTCTACATCCCTTCATGTCACGACAGAGCTACATCTCAATCATTCCTACCAAATACGTTAGATTTAAATACAAAACTAAAACCAACATTGTGTAAACAGGTGCAAGCCATTGTGGATCATCACCACGCTGACGTGAAGACTGCTAGCAAGGTTCGATTCGCGGAACCTGGTGATGAAGCACCAACTGATGCACCATCACCTCCGCTCGCTGATACTGAAGACAAAGACAAAGATGATAAGGTGAATATAACTCCTGCACGTACTATAATACACGATTATATCTCTACTGGTCTAAATAAACACATTTTAGATATTTTATCGACAAATTTAACTGTAATGAGAAATTCAACTTTAATGACAAAATTTATGTTAATGAGAATAACAATTTTAATTAGATTAACTCGATTGATACACTGAGAAAACAATATGACGGTTACTATAGACTGGTAGAAATATTTGTGGTGTCACTGTTTTCCTGCACTTAGATAACCCCTTTTGATGATGCTAAAACAATGAGTGCTTTGTGTAACTGAATGTACCACTGAAACTTAAATATCTAATGATTTTTTATACAATGATAAATTCTAATTTACATTGAAAAAATTTTTAATGATTTTTAATGAATACTTGCTGAAATGGATATATTTGTTTGAAATCAAAATGATCCGTTAATTTATGTTAAAACAATGATACATTAACATGAACAAGCTTCTTATTTTCTCAGCTAGCCCACAAGTCATAACCTGTACATAATTTGTTACAAAATCTCATTCTCATAACCATCAAATCTTTTTGTCTCAAGAAATTATAAACATACATACGGTCATATTATTATTGTGTGTAACTTGTCTTGGTTTACAATCTCATTGACAGGTACAAGACGAGTTTTATCGGAAACCTATACATTTTACTTTGTACAGAATCTTTTTACTCAAAATATATTTGTTTTAAATATCAAAGGAATTCTTTCCTTAATTAAAAGTAAAATGTTGAGGCGTCCGCCAGTACAATTGTGTGGTACGTACAAGCTGGTGTTTCTATGCACTGCAAACCATGATCAGCCATCGTTACTTATAATTTATTTAAGTTACTCATATTCGTCCTCACTATCATTACGTCACCAGCGAGTCCTAGCGAATTTACACACGGTGGTCATATGTTTGCGATGAGTTCATTCACGTTGATTTGTTCACTTTAGTTTGTTTCGTTGTCCACATTAGTTAAGAGGTTGGATGTTTGAATGTCAGTAGTGAGTTATCGTTTAACAATTAAAATAATATATGACATCCCGTGTTTCATTCGCCTTGAATCCGTCATGTGCAACACAAACAAACAAATCGCGGTTCAAAATTCAATATGGAAATGGAATACACAAATTGGGGTTAATAGGACGACTTTCGAAGTAGTTTGTTGCACATAATCGATTCAATGTGGGACTCGCCCGATGAACGGTCGCAGTGCGAGGATGCCAGCCCGCCACCCGACGACAACAAGCACAAGGATCAGCCCGTCAACGGCGACGTCAAGCCCAAGCCCAACCTCTCCGATATTACGCCGTGAGTAGTACTTTACATTATCACTTAACTTTTAACTTGAATATAGATAAAGCAAAAACTAGTAAGTCTACACTGTCTGAAATCAATTTGCAAGCTTTGTTTTGTCAAATGAAAAAAGGTATTTAAAATGAAACTGTGTATAAATATTGTAAGTAAACGATATTCAAGTATGTACAAATGTGGTATTCGCTTTATCAGTGACGAAGGCACGGTGCGACGCATGCACACGGCGGTGAAGCTCAATGAGGTGATCGTGTCGCGCTCTCATGACGCGCAGCTCGTCATCCTCAACCTGCCCGGCCCTCCCCGCGACACCAACATCGACCGAGAATCCAACTGTAACTACACTTACTATTATATAACTAGAATTGAGACAGAAACCCTGTTTAGTTTATTTGTCGTAGCAAACATTCGTAGCAAGTGCTACGAGAATTAATTGCACTTTGAAAAGGTTTAAGTACCTATGTTAGCTCATATCAGTATCATTTGTATGGAACGTAACATATTTTAGAGGAACTCATCTTGGTATGTAATACAAAAAAGATATTCTTTGTGTGAAATATAGTAGTTTTCGCTACGATGGGAAACCGTAGCAAGTGCTACGCGGGCGTAGTACTAACTGTCGTAGTTGGGACCTACAAAGTGGAATATGCTAAAATAAGACGTTTGTATGCAGACATGGAGTTCCTGGAGGTGTTGACGGAGGGGCTGGAGAAGGTGCTGATGGTGCGCGGCGGCGGCCGCGAGGTGATCACGATCTACTCGTGAACGCGCGGGAGTGCTTCTCTCCTAACTGTTAGTGCTATGGTTTGGAACGTTCCGATCGGTCGGGCTCGAGTCTCGTCGATCGAAAGACTTAACCCGCGCATCTCTAAGACTGCCGACACGACCGTCGCGTTCCGGTTCGTTCATAAATATTGTATGTATTTTCTTACGATGATTGTATTCGGCGTTCGTTTTACTTGTAAATGTTAGCTTAATTCTACGATACGTTTTGTTGAATTTGCTGTTTAGAGTGACGTTGTTTTGAAATTTATTCACTGTTGTATAGATATTTATGGATATGACGTATGTATCTAACGAGAAGCCTTATCTATCGGACGTTAGCTCTAAGTTTGTTGTTTTGTTATTACATAGACTAGCTAAGAGTTACTTTAAGCACCCGAGTGGTCTATTGTTTACCAACATGCCATATAGTTTTACTTTACTGTGCCGACGTGAACAGTTAAGTACTTGTAGATGAATTTGTATCATTTTGTACGTTATTTTATTTTCTATGGTTGTTATCACGACGTTGATATACTTTGTAAGAGTATACATTTCTTGAAATCATGAAGATTTTTAACTATATGAAATTGTATTTTGTAAATATTATTCTGTTCTAAGGTTTACATCTGCTCAACTTAAAACTAACCGTGGGACTGACGCAGGAAGTTACCATTTCCAACTGTCGCTATCCACACATACATAGGTTTCTATAAATTTTCTTTAGAACATCATGTCTAGTCACTTTTTGATATTAGTTTTATCTAATACATACACAATTCGTTATACCAAAAAATAAAGAAGTCATTAAGTGAACTCAACCGGAGAAACCCTCGAGTATTTATGATTAGTAGACAGAACAGCAACAGAACGCGCTGAGGGACACCTAGGTAACTATTAAATATTCGTATTTTAGTATTAGCGTGAAGATTTAATAGTTAAACGCGATCTCTCGCAAGTAACTTAGAGAATAACTTGAAAACTTATTGCGCACATTCGCGTAGGTAGATGATTTCTTACTGTGATCGTTTATATAAAGTTTTATTGTTTTAGTTTCATTTAAGTGGTAGCGGTAATACACAGACTATCCTGTAGTAGTCATCGTTCAGCAGAATGTACATTCCTTTCACATAATATTTGTATGTAGTTGCCTTCAATCGCTCGTGGTATTGTTTTCGTCGATTAGGCTGCCTTAAACGACATGCGTCATTAAACCAAATAAAACTAAAACTTTGAAAACGCTTACATTTGTCAACGACGGTACGGTATTAACATTTTAAATGTTATGATGAGAACATTATGATTGTCAAAGCTACAGAACCATTATTTTCTTGTCGTCGAACGAAAAGATGAATTGTTAAAAGATGCAAAGCTTTCAAACAAGTAAACATTCGTTTTGTTCCGAAATGAAATATTCGCAAGTAATATGGCTTATTTAGGTGTAACTGTAAAGTTTATAGATATTGTTATTTATTCGTTTTGAATGAAAACATCTGATACAGACGACAGCTTGGTACTCAGATGCGCGCGTACGTATGATGAAAACTTGTCAATTTTGATTTACCGTTGCACCACTCTAGTTAAGGAACAATTTCTTATTCGTATAAAGAGTGTTAGATAACTGCCAAATAGGAATCGGTGTTGTAAAATATCCTAGTCCATAAGTGAGCTACCATCTTCTCAATGATAACTGTGTTTATGAACTTTCATAAATATTTACGAAACATTTACAGTTATAAACATTTAATAAAATAACAAAACTTTGTAGACGATAGTTAGTTAACTCTACTCTCTTTGTTTCACAAAACTATTTATGTATTCAGTTTCCCATTCGATTGTTAGCATTCCTTCGATGTTCATAAGGAACGTAACTGTAAATGTTATTTTAAAAAAATATCAATTACCTTACTTATGTCCTAAGATTTTACGATAGCGTCAACTCGAATTTTGTATGAGAGTTGATATTTTTAAGATTTCCTCAAATAAAAAATAGTTTAACATTTTCGTAACTCGTATTCACAAATACAATTAATGTCATTTAATGTTCACGCTCTTCGCGTTACGAACAAAGTAGGAATTAATTCGAAGGCATTTAAGTATTCCTTTTTGTCATGGTTGTAGATGCCATAATAATAAATTAAGTACGTAGATGTTAGTTATTCTATGAATCGACTGTCGATTACCCGTCTATCGAGATACCAGTGAGCAGTAACTAAACACTCGGTCGCCTAGCAAGCGGACGACAGCCCGCAGTCGCCACTCTATCTACCAAATTGAAGCATAGCGATTAATAATTTTAACAAAAAAATATAACTCACTTAATAAGATTAAGTATAAATCATTCTAAATTATATTATTATCTGTAACCCCATGTTCGACATCTTTCGTGATAATACACCTCTCGTTATGATTTCGTGAACGTGGTTATCACTTAGTGATTGTACACAGGCGTAATGAAATAGTGATCACATATCTTCCTTTCGCATAGAAAAAATATATCTACATTATAAAACTATTTATGCCTATTAATAGGTAATGGACGATAATTTATTTAAAATGAAATTTATTGAATTATATATTATCTAAATTATAAAAATTATTACGTACCTATATAGTAGGTATTTATTACATCTAAGTCAAAGTCTTCAAATTGGATTTTAACGAAATTATTTGTGTTCTTTAAGAACATTTTCTTTAGTAGATTGACGGTTATATTGAACAGCTAATTCATACTCAATGACAATAGGTAAAGACGTACCTGTATATTAAAAGAAAGGCGACGTGGAGCGCGTTGACCGACGGACGAGCTAACACCTGGGATACACCTTGGTCTTAGTATTCGAGCACCACAGGAACGAGTCCACACCGGTGACAAGGTGCTTCGCTCCTACATACTTAATCTTACTTGATAACAACATTGTAGATAGTTCAAATTATTAAGTAGAACACTAGTTAATGTTTGATGCCCACGATAACGTCATACATGTGCCAAACATCATTATTTCAGAGAGTAAACGACACGGTGGCGAATCTATAGCGTAAGTCATCATACTTACATTTTAGACTTACCTACCTAATACAAAATATTCTCTCGATGAACTCTATCAGTAACGTGTGTCATAATTATATTAAAATAGCTTTCGAAGATACATTACTTACGTGTTAGAAATGTCACGTTTACTAACATAGTTGTTTTCAACAACATGCACACCTACATAGTAACCTACTCAGAATAGATTAAAAATCGTGTTCGTAATTTCAGTCGTTACATTTTAGCTTAATAATAATAATAAAAAATCATTAAAAATTATTAGCCGTACAGCCACCAACGTATTCACATGCAGCCGTGTTAATGAAAACACCACTGAATACGCTTGTGACTGTACTTTACGAGTATCAAATAATTATTGATGTAAAACTATTAAATTACCTATTTTAGATTTTAGGCTGTGAGTCAGCGTAAACACATTCTTTACAATTTAATATTCAAGCTAGAGTTGCTGTGATACACCATTATGGCTATAAAATTATAGTGTAGTCATTTCTGGCTATGAATAACAATGGGAGATAACGTGGATAACGTTTAACGCCATATTCTATCTGTGATTTCACTGATGTGTAGATGCACCTTTATCCGCGTAACCTAACACAGCCCTGAGATATCATTCCCCATCTATGCCTTGAGTACGACTCGTAGATATTCTGCCTCATAGGTAACCTGTACTATCTTATTGCGAATTACAAACTACATAATGAAATGTAACTAACAAGGCTGTCTCTACTTTGAAGATATTTTGAAAATTGTATTTTATAAAGCCTATGTCTAACAGCCAGAAATGTAACTAGATTGTCTATTATTGGATCTACTTGAAATCTATTCTTGGTCTTGAAAATATAAAGCGAACAAAGATAGCCTACATCACGCTAAATCTCAAGATATTGAGCAATAACGAAAGTATTTAGATAGTGATCGCCGGGCGGTATGCTATTTAACTTATAAATATTATGTATTTTGATCTGGAACGAGTTTTTCATAGAAAAATATTTCGAAGTGTAAAAGTTGTTTAAGAAATTATTAAAATATTCAAATAATAATTCTAGAAAGTTAGTCAGTGAGTAATTATAAGAAAAAGATGTTACGAGTATAATAAAATAAACTAATAAAATGTCGCTTTATTTCTTTTCCCATTCCTTACACAATGTGATATCCGTCTCCTATACTAATATATGATACCTGATCTACTGAAATAACTGATCAGTTGCGATTCCTAAATCAAGTAACTTTGGTGATTGGTCTAGTGACTGGGCAACTGTAGCCACAGACAACATGCTGTACGTTCGATTCCCATACGAAACAACTATCGTGTGAAACACAATGTTATTGAAATTACTGAATCCGAGCCTAAGTGTGACATGTTTATCAATGGGTCCGTAAATAAATAAAAAATATAGGTATTTTTGCCCTGGCAAAAATACATATATTTTCGCAAATGGAATTATTATTTTCGGAACGGAGGTCCTGACCTACGTTCCGAATTAATGCAATATTTTCAAGCGGTTTATTCCTTAGCTATTCTGTCCTGGAAAACTATCGGTTATCTTTGAGATTCTGCATATAAATAGGTCCACTCCACCCCAAGGTCACTACTACCTTAAAAAATAATATGTACGGTACGTAGCCGGTAAGTACGTAATGTACAACTACCTACCTATTTTTAAGCTACATAAGAAAAGTTCTAAATAGAAACACGTCTGTTTCAAAATCTCAGATTCACGAGAAATCTATGCGAATAATACGCATGTTTTATACTGCTGCCTCGTTGGCCGAGTGGTCACAAGTGCGATTGCCGGGTAAGGGGCTCGGGTTTGATTCCCGGGTCGAAAAAAGTATTACTGGTATATATATGGAGCAAAGTCTAAGTAACCCATTAAGATAGATATAGAAAAAAAAGAAAAAAAGTATATTTAAAAATCTTTATTATTTCTCACAATTTACAATAATGACATAGGTATCACCTCAAAAATACAGAAACTTACTACACTATGGTTAAAATATAATAAATAAAACATTAACATTAAAATCTTTTTTATTTTTTATAAATAAATATCACCAAAATTTTATTTAAGATACAATAATGTTGTTAAGGTAAATTAATTTTACCCTTTTTAATTAATATTGCAGCTTTAAGACTAGAAAAATAAAATTTATGTATTTGAACTGTGTTTCTTAGTCACTATGTACATAAATAATTATTTTCATATCTTTGTTTTACAAACATATATATATAAAATCTATCCAAAAATTTAAGACTATTTGCTCACTATGCCCAAAATATCATGGAATTAGTGTAGCCTATATTACACACATTGTTCTGCATTATTAATACTTTCAAGAAGGTATTCCCTCAGTCCATTCTTATTGTAAGTAGTATAAAACTGACTTAGCAAAGAATACTTCAAGCTTACAACTTTCATTCCTAAAATTTTGAGATGTCTCTTTTTCATAACTTGAGGACCAATCAGATGTTCATTGTTGGAACAATAATGGTCAGGCAAATGTATTAATATGGCAATATTAGCATTCCGAACGGTTTTTGATTTCCAGTTAAAGGTTTTACTACCCAGCCCAGCGGAGTGCAACATGACATCCAGTAGATATGTTTCATCCGATGGTAAGTACGGTATAACACAGCTACTGACAATTTATCTTGACCTCCTGCTACATTTGTAAGCATTTCCATGATTTTTTCCAAAATATTTTTAACCCTAAAGTCTTGAGTTATTGGCTTGGACCACTGGTCTTTTGGTAAAAGAGGACCCAAGTACTTCTCACATTCTAAAGTCATTGCAGTATCTATCAAATAAAACCTCTTCCACATATCAGCATTTTTGACTTTTGCCAGATACTCTGGACTTAACATTCTACGGACTAAAGTGGAAGGGTACTTACCTAAGTAAATTGACGACAGTATTATTGAACTAAGATCACAGCTGGTCATTTTATCAAAATTTTCATTCATGATTTTTTCTACAAGCATCCAAAATTTTGTATTATTTACAGGATCATATTGCAAATATCCAAAAGGATATATGAAAGATTTGAGGAAACTAGGTGGCACAACCTGCCAATTACTCAGAAAATATTCACTGCAAGAATTCAATATCTGTTCATTATAAATTTGGAACTGCATGCAAAAGTTCAGAAGGCCAACAATAAGGACATGGCTCTCTATCTTATGGCCTCTCAACTTCATGTATTTTTCCACAGCCTTCTCAATTTTGTCATCAGTATATTTCAGTCTAGTCAACTTAGAAATAATATCTAACAAGGAATCTTCGTCCAAAGCATGTATATTGGCACAGAGCCAGCTGCCAACAACACCAAATGATTGCACCGATAAATATTTTTCCATTACAAAAGAGCTCAATATGTCTTGCATGACAGGCACTTTAATTTTAAACCACAAATCACATAATTTTTGCTCCAATAATGTCAATATTATTCTTTTGCTGACTTTTAAACCATGTAGGATGCCAAACACCTGCACTATATTGTTCTCATCTATTTCTTTTTCTTTTGCAACAAATCCAACCCACAGTTTGTCAATGGTTTCAGAGTATTTTGTATCATTTTTATTTTTTATTAAAAAATGTATAAATTCACACAACTGGTCAACAGGTAGCTTGTTGTCAATAACTCGAAGAGAAGCTCATCATGGAATTTGTATTTGAAAGGTCCATGAACGATGAAACTGTGTTCAGTATCTCCAGTATTGTGCGTGTGTCTTCAGTTCTCATAACAACCTTCAGAAGTTTATCTAAAATGGCACCTTTTGCTAAATTAATTTGCATTATTTTAGGATCTAAGCTAAGAGAGTTTGGATTTTTCTCAATGTCGTATATTCTTTCGATGGCACCTAATGCAATGTTTGGTGTAATTTTTGTACACTTTGATAGTAATGAGAACACATCCCGAAGATCCACACATTGTTTAAATTCTTCTTGTATCAGCTGATAGCTCAGAGTGTCTTGTACAGTTGCTGCTTGTTCTTCGTTTGGCTTGTCTTCGATGTCTGTGAAATTTCGCAATTTCTTGATAGCCACGGGAAGTTCTTGTACGTTAAATCCATTTTCAATTAAAATAGTACTACTGCTAAATTGTGGATTATTGCCAGATTTGTCGTCATTGAACGTTCGAGCCACAAAAGTCTGTAACTGACCAGACACTGAAATATTTCCGGTACCAGGAGACAGGATATTATTTTTAGCTTTTAAATACGTTCTTCTCAAAACCAATGACATTTTTTAACATAAACAAATACGTCGTAAAATAATGAAAACAAACAAAGTAAAATCTACTTTTACGATCACATTTTTGACAACTTTGACATTGAATTCAAATGAATGTTACAGTGTTACCCTATTAAGACTTGTAATAAAACAATGCCTAAGCCCTGAAATATAAAGACAGTTAATTCAGCAATTTCCCAATAAGTGTCGTTTTACATATCAATTTATGAAATTGCTACATATTTGTATTTAATTTTAATATATAAACTTACTAACGACTAGGTACGTGCGCTTTCCTTGATCAATGGCAACATTTTTCCCTAATCTTCATTCATTGTATTTAATTCATTCATGAATTTTATTACGGAATACTTCATTCAATAGTTCTGTAGTTCATTCTAACATCTTTGGACGCTTGTACCCTATTGTGTTTTTCCTCTTCGTTTTCGTATATTTCTTTGATTTTGATAAGATATGACGTTAATTATGTAACTTAAAAAGTATCAATAATATTGTACTCTAAAATTTAATAGCCTCTAAACCAAAATTGTGTTAAGCTTCCGGCGAACTATTCTGAGGTGATATTTTTATTTGCTCAAGTCAGCTGATTTTCTTTTTTGTAAGTTGTAACTTTTTAAGTTTGTTTATGCTAGACTTTGTGCGGGTAATTTGGTGGTAATAATAAATCAAACAGATAAAAGTGCTAGCTGTGATATCTGTGTTTAAAATTTCTAGGTACTTACTGGAATAATTTTATGTTGTGAACCTCGAAATTCCTATGTATTGTTATGATTTAAGTATTTAGTCACGTCAGTATCCAGTCACATAAAGGCACCGTGGTATCGTGATAAAGGGTACAAAATTTAATTTATTTCTTATAGAATCCGTTGCAAAATAGAATACCTGGTGATAAATAAGCAGTTCTATTTTAACTGAAGCTGAACGAAGACGTACCTACCTGCAGTTCACCAGTATGCCTGATCAAACAAATGTAAGTAAATACTAACTACCTAATTGCAGTAATAATAGCTAATCGTATACGTATCCAACCACTTTATTAACATTAATTAATTGTGGCTGCATAGCTAGTTGCGCTTAATTTATACATCGTTTCGAGATGACTATCAGACTACTCCATAGGCCGTTAGGTAACTAGCGAGATGTTTTACTGTTTCATATCCAGATCTAGATAATATTCTGTTTATAGAATTATTTTAGTTACCTACCTAGATATTGTAATATAACCGAAGTACATATCTATGAGACTAACATTATCCAAATAGGCAAGTATGTGCCTACCTGGTTACTCCAATATACATCTTACCATCCCGGGTTTATAATGTAGGTAAACTCGTCGTACTTATAGTTAATAAGATATCGAGTTTAGCATAGCGCCTAGCGCTAACATCGGAATCTACGAAGTTACAAAAGGGATGGGTGTCTTCCCTATTTAATGCGATTTCCGTGCATATTACTCTACCTAATTCGAACGAACTTTCCTCCTCGCCCGGATCTTCTTCGCACCTTCTCACAGATGACTTAAAAAAAATTACAACATTCTTTCATGTAAATATTTAAAATAGCAGAGACAACACTAACAGATTTTTATTCATAATTATTACGTCCATCTGGTGTTAATTATTTGTAACATTAAAATGATATATAAAATACCTATTAGCATTTAATGAGAGTCAAGCATGCATCTATTACAGCTTGTTAGTGTGATTCGCTTCTCATGAACATAAATAAACATTATTATGATCTCCTGTCTCGCATAGCACTAACAAACTGCCAATCAACCCAGTTGACCAATGGGAGCACATTATTCCATTCCACTAGTACTGACTGTCATGTAGGTACTGAGTCTAATTAACACATATTTAAGAGGCCTGCATAGGCAACTCGTTATATTTCCATGTGTGGACAAATCTCCGTACAGTCACTGTGAAGGCGCGATAACTATTGTGTACCTTTTACGTGATTATCTTAAAAGATAAGAAATACCTAATGCAATGTTATGTTTGCCCACCTCTATAAAATACTTTTCAGGCACTTGTTTTTATTGGCGGGTGTCGTGTTTCTTATTACTCACTCAAGTACATTAATATTGAATTACAAAAGTATTTATTTGATACGAGTGCGGTGTAGGCAAATAAGGTTGCTTTGTGTGAGGACCGTGATCTAATTAATTCAGGTCATATTACGAAAAAATCGTGGGCGCTCTTTATTATTATTTATACTGTCTCATCAAATAGGTGGTAAGTAGCTTCAGTGTTGAATTAATTACTCGCTTCACTTCGATAAAAAAATGATTCTGCTATCACAGAAGTTACTTAAGTAGATTACGCAATAAATTCATTTAATCTCCAAAAACTTACATTGAAGGACAAACACATACGTGTGTAATATAATTCAACATTGGTAATCTTATCTTATACAAAATTTAAATCCCTACTCAATACTGATTTACTCTGCAGTGTCAATGTTGTTTACAAACTAAATTACGTATCATATTTTTCTTTTTCAGATGGATTTCCAATTAAAATGGGGGGTGGCCGGAGTGGGTATGATTGCTCACGACTTCCTGACTGCGCTGGGCACGCTACCGGCTGACCAGCACAAGGTCGTCGCCGTGGCCGGCAAAGATCTAGAACGTGTCCACAGATTGGCCACGCTCCACAAAATCAACACTGCCTACGAAGGCTACGAGTCACTAGCGCGTGATGACTCTATAGGTAACAAAACGTCCTATTGTTTACACAAGGATCAGTATACAAACAAAAGATAACGAGCTAAATCATTAAACATGAATGACTTTGACACTTCTCCTAACATAACACTTGGTCTTGGAGGACTTGTCTTTCCACTAACCTGCCTGATTTGCTTAACGCCTCACTTGAAAACTCTTATCGCAAGTTTGCAAGTTTATGGTTAGGTACATTGTGGGCACAAATATGATACTAGTCGAAATCCTCAACTAAACAATGGTATTACATGTTATATACCTACTTTGCAGGTGTTATACAAGATCATTTGACGCAAATGTTTTCGTAATTATTTTTTATGAACAGGAGCACTAATTGCAACGTAGATTCGTATTCGTTATTCGTACTTATATACGTTACATGTTAGGGATGATTATGAGTTACAGAAACCTAAATACCAATAACCTTTCCGTATATTTTGCGTAAATAACATTCTTAATCCCGACTAAACAAGCAAATTTATAATTTAAAAACTGATTCATGTCCAAAATAGTGGTCCAAATCGTCCCTAACATGCATCTGATGAAACGTATTCGCCGCAAGCTATTTGAGATGTACCTTGTAGAAGCTCAGTGCCTGTCCTTAATTTCGTTCGACTCAGTGCAGATTACCTCCAAACTTATAACTTGCATGATTACTGTAGTCGCGAGTCGTATAATACTTTAATCCGAGGTTGTACTTCAAGGCAAGGTAGATACGTTTGTCACTACCACGATATGACAAGACAACACGACACGCGACTCGCACCTGCCAAGAGCCTTCAGATTTATCTGAAATATTTTTCTTGTTTCCAGACATTGTATTCGTGAGTGTTCTCAATTTGCAGCATTACGAAATAACTAAATTAATGTTAGAGAACGGTAAACACGTGCTATGCGAAAAGCCTATGGGCATGACTTACAAACAAACTAAATCGCTGGTGGACCTGGCTCGGGAGAGGAAACTGTTCCTCCTTGAAGGGATGTGGTCGAGGTTCTTCCCTGCTTACGACGCTTTGGATCAGCACATATCTTCGGGCGGGCTTGGGGACATCTATCACATCAGCATACAGTTTGGGGTTGAGATTAACGACATTGAAAGAAACTTGTAAGATATTTATGATCGTTCATTGCTTTTGTCATTATCATGCTTTTCTTGTACAGACGCGTCAACGCTATTTTCATTTTATTTTCGTCTGTGTTTTTCTCGTAAACGATTATCTGTATCTGTTATGATTTCTCTATTGATATCGGTCGTCAATTTCAGAATGAAGGACTTGGGAGGCGGTGCTGTGTTAGACTTGGGCATATATATGTTACAACTAGTGCAGTTTATATATAAAGACCCGCCTACCGACATCGTGTGCACGGGCCACCTGAGCAAGTCTGGGGTGGACGAGTCCATCTCGTGCGCGCTCAAGTACAAGGACGGCAGGACCGCCACTCTGTCCGCGCACACACGAGCCAATATGACCAACAAGGCGGAGATCGTGGGCACGAAGGGGGCAATAACTGTATGTATATGATTGTTTTTATCACACTGTTTTTTTTTAATCCGTTCACAGAGTACTTGAAATTACCGTGACCCCCGGGATTCGAAACAGTCGCACTTCCTGAGACCATTTCACTTCTATTAACTATTGCAAATGATTATGTGTGATTTCGTGCATTTTATCAATTCTTTGACTCTGTATAAAGAATACTTATACTTATTTATAGGTCTGAAGTTTCCACACCTACACAATAATACCTAAAAATCATCTTATGATATTTCTTGAACTATTTGAAATCACAATTGACAACAATTCTAACACTCCGCATTCAGTTCAGTTACGACGTCAATGCAAATCATGTTAATTGTTTGTAAATATTATCTGTTGCAGCTGGACTATTTCTGGTGTCCCACGGTACTACAAATATCGGCAGCTAACAACACAGAGTGGAGTTTACCCAAAGGAAAATACAAGTTCCATTTCCATAACAGCGCAGGCCTCAGTTACGAAATACAAGAATGTTGGGACTGTCTCAGTAAAGGTAAGGTGTCACAAAAATATTATTACAACCGGTACACACACTGCCAAGCTAAAATAAACACTAACTCTTTTACATACAACTTTATTTTCAAAACATCTCGGCTTACAATGACATCTTTTAATTTATTTTTAAAATAACAATTCCATGTTTACCTTGTTCATGTATAAAAGACACGATCTTTCCGACGACTTTTGTTTGTAAGTAGTCATTAACTCTATGTACTTACGTGTGCAAATAAGTACGCAACTCGTTGTTATATTATACTCCGTCACGTCATGTTAAAAATGCTAATTACATTTGTTTTCTTTAAAATGGAGCTTACTATAGTGCGGGATACATTTTTAATGGTACCATTACTTCCTATTATTTCATGTTATGTTAATTTATGTTGTTTCATTACAGGCCAGCTGGAAAGTCCAAAGATGACATTGGATGAAACTGTTCTGCTCTCAAAATTAACAGACACCATGCGAGCTCAAGTCGGCGTCTTGGAAACTGAACTAAATTAAAGGGAACAAGTTTAGCCTGATATACTGGCAGCCCATACTTTATAATGTAATACTTAATATTACTTAAAGTTCTGCTTTAATTATTTTATATAAATGTACCAATAAGTGCCAGTCGAGGAACAAATGCTACGCGTTGTGATATTTTATCTAAATTCGGCCCATTGTATACAATAAAAGTTACTTAAAGTACAGTATTTACCTCAACTAACTGTGATTATTAGTGTGTTGTGAGACGGTTGTTAAATGTAATATAAAAATATATACCGCACAAAATTTGCAACTTACTTTTATTTACTAATCGCTCTTAACCTTTAACTACGATAGACTGTAAGAAATATTCCTCTCAAATCGATGGATACAATAGATTACAATGGGTATGTTTCCATCTAGTCAAATTCCAAATACAATACATTCCAAATGCCAAGAACATCAATTTTCTAACAAATTTGTACGTAACTGTATTTTGACGTCATAATTTTTAGCATCTCAATTTAGAGCTGCAAAAATCGAAAACTAAAGGTCGTGTAAATCAGTCACAGTGACTGTTATTTGATTTGACTAGGGGAAACATCCCAATACGTATATTTAAAATACAATCTATCCTGACGTGGACGTTATATCCATATGTTACGTCGTCGTGTATCGAAGCATGGATTTATTTATCATAGCTCTCGAGTACTGTGCGAATGATGTTGACTCCCTCGCGAATCTGTTGTTCAGTGATGACTAGCGGTGGTGCTAGGCGGATTGTCTGTCCGTGTGTGGTCTTCATCAGTATACCGGCGTCACGCAGCCTCAAGCAAACGTCGTATGCTGAGATGCCTGTAAAGGAACAATACGAAAGACATGAGTAAATCGAATATACCTATGTGGTGAACAGAGAAGAAAAGACTATGTGAATAAAAAGACAATTACGGTTGCCGCAAAGCATGATTTAAACCGGGAATTGAACTTTCTTTTTATGGATTATTCCCGGTAGATGGGCAGACCGACAACCCGATGGTGATCAGTCGACCCATGGACACCCGAAACACCATAAGGGATTAGGAATTTGAGGATTATTAGGGATTTGGGAGATTGGGGACTCCTCCCCTGTGAATGAGGTTATTCCCCAGTAACTGCATTCACACGACGAAACACTTTGATTTTCTGTGAGGCCGTGGTTGATTGTGATGATTACAGTCGAGCTTTTCCATTCGTGCCTTGAGACTAGTTAGGCATTTACTCTTACGAGCAGTCAAGAAATGGGGTTAAGTTTACTACTACTACTTTACGTTATTTTTCCTACATAGGAAATATGGAAATCATAACACCGGGAACAAACTGCTTGAAAATATAAAATAACGTACTGTCATGAATAACGATGGCACACATGAGTCCCCTGCCTCGCACTGTGGTGATCTTGTTCTTGGGAATTTTGTTCAACTCTTCAACCAGAATTTTACCGAGCTTCTCGGCATTCTCACATAGTTTCTCTTCCAACAGCACCTAGACAAAATATTCATTTAATGGAGCACTCAGGTGAATATAAAAATCATACCTTAGGCGCCTTCACCTAGGGTAGGGGTATGTCGATAAAAATGTATTTCGAGCTAGAGGTTGACATAAACTTGCTATGGTTTAAAATACATCAAGCTATCCCAAACTGAATTCAATACTTTCGATTTTATTATTGTACAAGAAAATTGGAAATCTATTGCAGCAGTTGTCGGATTGGGGTAGTAAGTACGTAGCAGATAAGAATAGTGAAAGTACAAACACTAATATATTGATGTATTATAGGTAAGTACCTTAATAGCTTCAGTGGCTACTGCACAAGCAAGTGGGTTGCCTCCATATGTAGATCCGTGAGTACCGGGTGTGATCACCTGAAATAAATAAATAAAATAAATATTAAACGCACGTTCAAACAGTACACTATGAGAACAGGCCTTTGGTCAATATTGGCCGCTTATAAACTGTTGATGATGATGGTGAAATGCGAGTTCAAACATAATGTAAGAAAAGGTTTATACGATTACATGCCTAACATTCTCACTGATATACCCAGTACTGACTGATTAGTGGTCTGTAAATCTGTATAAGGATATCTCGTAACTTTAACGTCAATTTAAGGTGGCGCAGCGAGCTATGGAGAGGGCTATGCTCGGCGTATCTCTGAAGGATAGGAACGAGGTGATCCGACAGAGAACTAAAGTTACCGATGTAGCCCAAAGGATTAGCAAGCTGAAATGGCAGTGGGCCGGTCACATCTGTCGAAGAACCGATGACCGCTGGGGTAGACATGTTCTGGAGTGGAGACCGCGTCTAGGCAAACGTAGTGTAGGGCGCCCTCCAGCTAGATGGAGTGACGATATACGTAAAGTGGCTGGTAGTGGTTGGATGCGTAGCGCTGAAGACCGAGCTCAGTGGTGTGCCATTGGAGAGGCTTAGGTATATCCAGCAGTGGACGAAAACAGGCTGTTGATGTTGATGATGATATCTCGTAACTTGATAAAATGTAAAAATATAATTGGGGATTTTCAACTCTATCAGAAGTAACACAGTCTCGAGAATGTCCAAAGCGACGAAAATCTAGATTAGTACCTATGTAGGTACCTACTACAGTTCAGTAGGGAAAATCGCTAATGTTTACGGACAATAGGTCTGATGAGTTTAGTTAGCGCTATAAGCTTACTCATTCCACATGGCAAAGTGTTAGATTTAGCTATTAGGTACCTATAGGCGAAGTTCACGACTTAGCCAATAAACCCATCACATATTCAACGAATAATTACAATTTTGCTCTTAACAATATCTATGTATGAATACGTCTTACATCCATGACACTGTTGTTGGCCAGTACTGCGGACACTGGCATTACTCCTCCACTGAGCGCCTTGCCCAGGATCAGAATGTCAGGCTTGACTCCTTCATGGTTCACCGCCAACAGTTTGCCAGTACGACCTGCAACCAATGACCATCCAATAAGAATGTAGTTTGTATTGTAACTTTCGTGAGACATACTAAATAAATTATTATGTTTTCGGCTTATGAGCATGAGCAGCATTTCGCGTCGCGGGTGCGAAATGCTGCTCATGAATATGAGCCTCTAGCATGGCTTGAAACTAGTCGAGTTCCTCGTCGAATTATTACGTGAATGCGCCGAAAACATAATAATTTATTAAGAATGTAGTTATTTTGAATATTCTGCCAGAACAATACTTTGCAACTGACAACGTGTAGGTATTAGGATTTTAGGATTGATTATTGTCTTAAATATTTTGACTATATACACAAAAAATGATTTTCCCACGTAGCAAATCTAAGATTACCTATACTCTATTTGTTAATTTAATAACTCCCGGTAAATTACCTACTAATCCAAAAGTTTTCTATAAAAGACACGTTCACAAATAGGACCAGAATCCATAGTGATTTATGATCAAGGCAAAATATACAAACATGTAGATACCTATGTATATGTAAGTGGTTTAAAGATTAGCTAACTATATATTTATTAGCAAAGTTAAGTTGTTGCTATGTTATTCGCCGTGTCCGTGTACACTGTAGCTATACTTAGCATGGTTCAATTATAAACGGTACTTAAAATTTTACGGCACACGTATGGTGCGGTGGCTGGACAACCGGCTGCCTCGCAACGTTCCATTCCCGCACGGAGCAATTCTTTGTGTGATCCACAAAATGTTGTTCCTGGTCTGGGCGCATGTGTATGTGAACTTGTATGTTTGTAAACGCACCCACGACATAGGAGAAAATCCTAGTAAGAGGCAATGTTTTAAAAAAACCTACCATCCGAAAAAAATTATTAACAAAATATCTAAACAAGATTTAGCCTTCTTTATATGTTCTGTGGGATTTCGGCATGAATAAAGACTATATAACATTGGTAGATAGGTAGATGATAAGATGAAACAAAAAACGTATTATGAAATTGTATCGTTTTTTTAGTAGTTTGTTTTTACCTAAACCAATGGAAGACAAGCGTGATGTTAATTATATGTCAATGGATCAATAGAAAAAGTTACAACCACAATCTTGTAATTCAGGACTAAAGGGGTTAATGTAATCCACACTAAAGCTTTGCATAAGCCAAGTAAAATGGATAAACAAAGATAAAATTGTTGTGAAGTGAAAAGTCAAGGGACAAATATAAAAACAACAAAGGTTACCCACTGGTCTAAAAACGGAAAATCACAATGGAAACATTTTATTTATATCCTCCCTATCTAAAGTCAACGGCGCCGAATACTTTCATCTATCAATTGTTTACATTCTGGTCTCGATAAACTATTGCCCTGACCTTACATTCAGTACCTACTCACACCACCCCCTAATAAAAACTAACTACCTACGCTAAATGATGAAATATTATCGTTTGTTTAAAAAATCACAAGTGATCGATAACATACCTACCTATTTAATTAAAACCAATGAAATGGATAATTCAGTAGGTACATCGTTAATAGAAAATATTAACAATTGATAAGATTGATATATGAATAAGATGACATTTTAAAAAGGTACTTAAAATCTTAGGATGCTGACCACTGTCGTCACCAGAAATGGTCAAAACAATACGCATATAAATAACTGCGCAGTGCAGATAAATTACGTAGTGAACCACTATTATTGCAAAGATTACTGTCGAATAAGGTCAATGTAATTTGTGAATAAACTATTGACGTAGTCGTGGCCATAAATATAACAACGACACTGTTATCCTACTGTTCTAAAAACGGAATCAGAATGGAAATATTTTATTTATATCCTCGATATCTTTAGTTGAACGACGCAAACACATTCATCGATACATATAATCACATTGTTTACACTTTAGACAAGATAACTTGTTTTTGACCTTTCTAAATACTCACCCAAACCGGTCTGTACTTCGTCGGCGATCCAAAGGACGTTGTACTTGGTACACAGCTGTCTTACTTTCCTCAAGTAACCGTCGTCGGGGATCACGACACCCGCCTCGCCTTGAATGGGCTCTACCATGAATGCCGCTACGTTCGGGTCTTGAAGTGCCTTCTATGGATTAAAAAAAAATTGCATTTTACTTATACTTATCTTAAGATTTTTAGAATGTTAAACGGAATATTAGGCCCGAAATAAACTATGTTCATTGTTCATGCCTAAGGACAATTTCTAAAAGGTACTTTCTAAAACAAACACCCTTTTAGTAACTATAATCAGTCCGTAATTACATCTATGAATCAGTGTTCTTACCTCTAGAGCATCAGTGTTGTTGTAAGGGATGAGGTGGAAGCCAGGCATGTAGGGGCCGAAGCCTTTGTAACAGCTAGGGTCCGATGATGCTGACACTGCAGACATCGTGCGGCCCCAGAAATTGCCTTCAGCGAAGATAATCTGGAATAGAAAATTTTTTACACACCTACTTTCTTTCAATTGGGGGACAATCGTATCTAATGATTATACAAGGCTTCTTTATTTAATATCGTATTCATTGATTTTTTCCGGACTCTTCTAGTAGTGTAAAATGATAACCTGTGATAAAAATAATGATTTGATAAACGAACGTTACTCATTAATAAGTTGAATAGCCAATAGTTCAAAAGCGTTGCTTGAACATACAAAAGTCAGAGGTCACAAACATACCGGTGTAATGCAGCTTAATAAACAGTGTTAAAGCTGAATGTGCTCTGTATGAACATGTGCAAATGTATGCCAATTAAATCTGTACTCTAAAATTCATTTGAGTCTTTCTTCAATAAAAAAAATCTCACAAATCTCGAAACTCAATCTTAACATTCAGATGCCCTAACTTCAACTGTGACAGTGGAAAAGTAACTTCATTGATGAAATTGAACCGTCATTAAAAAGAGAATTAACACTATGACTGAACCGAAACGAAGGCAATAAGATCCTAGAATATTGGTCGCCAGTCCTAAACCCCATTCACCATTTCGTTTAACTCATATCACCATTTAGTAGTAAATCAACTTACCTTTGCTTGTCCTTCCGGAATTTTCTTGACATCATATCCCCATTTCCTTGCAATCTTGCAGGCACTCTCACCGCCCTCTACGCCAGTGTTCATGGGCAACAGACGGTCGAAACCAAGAAGGTCCGTCATAAATTTCTCAAACTTACCCAGCTGATCCGAGTAGAAAGCTCTGAAAAGCGATTTCATATTATTCAATAAGTGAGGATAAAGTTTCGCCTCCTAGTACATACATAGCACTTAGGTATTTATTTATCACTAGCTACTTCCGCGCGGTTTCGCTCGCTCTGCTCGGCGCCTATTAATCGTAGCGTGATATCTTAGCCTATAGCCTTCCTCGATAAATGGACTATCCAACACACAAAGAATTTTTCAAATCGGACCAGTAGTTTCGGAGATTAGCGCGTTCAAACAAACAAACAAAAAGACAAACTTTAGCTTTATAATATTAGTATAGATTTCATATACCTACACCATACAACAGACAATATTACTACAGAGGACAACACATTACAAGCATGAGGTTCTATAAGTTACTCGGGGGCAAGAAGACAGATGTAATGTTTAACTCTAATCTACTTGATTTAGTCTGTACTCGTACTGAGTCCATCTTTAAGTTATTACCTCCAAAGTAAATAGCTGTGCTGACTCTACACAATGCTCAATACTGTTGAGTCTATCTGGCATACAATTTTAATACGTTTATGGTACCTATTGGATGCATTATCTGCATTGCAACTTAACAAGTTACGTATATGTAAATTTTTATAAGTATTGAAAACAATTTTATTGCAAAATTAAAAAAATATTGTGCAGGAAATCGCTAATTTTATTATTAACTAGTTGTTGTCCGCGATTTCGTTCGCGTGGAACCCCGTAGATGATAGCGTAATAATATGTAGCCTATATGTTAACCCGACCGGGCAGTAATATTCATGCAAAATTTGAAGTAAATCCATGCAGTACCTAGTTACTTTTGGAGATCATCCCGGACATACATTATAGACAAAAATTCTAAACACCATATTTTTTGTTTCAGTATCGATTGTAAATCACGCCACAAGTATTATTTTTTTAAAAACATTCAATATACAGTTTTGTCTTTTCTACGATTTTATTATATGTATAGACAATGACGTATGATGTGCGTTGTTGCAACAAATTTTTGTTTTTTGCAATGCGCGTTCAACCTTGGCAATGTAGAAAATGAAAACAATAGACGAACGAAATAGTTATTTTTAATTTAATGTGTATTTTTAATGCCGGGTCTACACGCTTGGCAAATAATAGCGAACACGAACATGTAGATGGTTGTTTGTATGTGTGTGCCTGTTCTTGTTTCCAAAACACAGACCAAAGGCTGTTCAGCAAACAGTTTGCGACGTTTCCACAGGCTTGCTACACATCGATGTTTTGGACTTTATTTGTTGTGTTCGGTATTTGTGACAAACATCAACGTGTGGACGAGGCATTACGAACTACGTCATTATCCAGAATATGGCGCAGACTAATGAGGAGACTAAACCCTACGTAGGTGAAATAAAAGTCAGAAAGAAAATAGTTTTACTTCCAACAACAGCCGTGACAGGCGCTGTCGGAATATCTGCATTCTTCACCAAAAACAATTGTCATAATCTACTAGGTCATGCTAACTTTGAAGGTGAGTAAGAGATCGCAATTGAAAAAATTCATGTTTATCTAGCAAAAATCGCTCCTACCCGGTGTCAGTCAAATGTGTAATTCCTTCATCGACTCTAGGATACTCGCGGGAGAAGGAAGGTCGGTGAAAATGTATTCAACTCTTCTACCTCCACATGATTTGGGCCTTATTTCATCTGTATTTATTTTACCTGGATACAAGGGTGAGTTTCTCAGCTTGTTGCTTGAGAGCAGCGATGATCCTTGGGTGGCAGTGACCCTGGTTCACTGCGGAGTATGCGCTCAAAAAGTCGTAATACTTCTTTCCTTCGACGTCCCAAACGAAAACACCTGAATGAAAGATACATTTAAGAATTAATACTTCACGACTGTTTAATGGCGCGTCTGGTATCGGCTGATACTCGTAATAATAAGTAAGGGTGAAATGGAGCCGCGGAAAACTTGCGGGTTGCCGGGGCTCCGGCTCGAAGTGCAGGAGTAGGAACCGGGTGGTTTTTAGTAAGTAGGTAAGAGTCTGACACCTCCTCTTGCGGGAGAAGTCATTGGAAGATTCAGCAAAAAAAGGTAAGGGTCAAATATTTTTTTTCAGAAAAAACAAAATTAATATTGGATTAGATTCAATTTCTGCGACTCTCAGTAGAACAAGTAATAACTAAGTTTCGCCAAAAAAAATTCACTCCTCTTCCTTCATATTCTTCAAAGGAGAAGACTGAAGTAGTAAAACTGAAGTGTTAAGAAGTCTGTCCTAAAGAAAATGTACATATTTAGATGGTTGTACTTATTGGTTGACGTGCACTAACATCCAAACAAACAATAAAGTTCATTGTAAAATATTTTATCAGTTAACTGTATGCACAATTATACTAAGGAATTACCATTAACCTAGTTAATTGCAGTGATATAAAGATTAGACAAATAAGTTGTATTTACATAGTTATTTATTCTGTAAATACTTGAGTATAAGTTACATGAGATTTACCACCGAGCTGTTTACGGATTTTTATTGTATTATAAAATGTTGATCTTGAGAATCATTCGTTTATTTACCTGACGTATAAAGTAAAGTACATAATACATACAATGCAATTGGAACTTGGACCAACGGATAAAAGGGGTTAAATTATCCTCTTTTAGATATTTGTTTTTTTGTTATTATGATTTATTGTATGGTTAGGTAAATGATAGCAGTTTTCTTAACCGGCCTCGTTTGTTGGTTGGTCACAAGCTCTAATGCAAGTTGAGCTCTTATCATTGCTAGGGATGTACCCTAATATACGTTGCACAATAGCTCCGGAACTGGATCTTTCCAATGACTCGGTATCCTAACAGCGAGCATTAAATACGATACTGATGCCTAATCTTTCTCCTTAAATTGCTTGTTGCTTCTCCCGTCGTAAAAATGAGGTTACTATTGCTATCGACAAAATACAATGGCAATGGTCATTAATCTTTACATCTAATGTTCTACAAGCCAAACTTAACCTTTCGTATCGTAAGTATTATAGTGTATGTTTCATCCCAATAAAAATATTTCATTTCGTCATCCTATCAATATTATTGTAGAGTAAAATGACCCTAAAATAATCGACTATTACAATGAAATCTGAAAACAAAAATAGGGGGTCAGTAATCTAATCTTATTAATAATATAAATGCGAAAGTTTGTGAGTCTGTGTGTCTGTTTGTTATTCATTCAATAACGTAAAACGACTGAAGGGTTAGGGATAAAATTTGGAACGAGATAACACATAAGCTACTTTTTACCAGATGGCAACGCGGGCGAAACCGCGGGCACAAGCTAAGGTTATATTATAAATAGCTAAATATGAAGTAGGGCCCCATAAGTTGAGTGATCGCAAATGTAACTGCCGGGGAAGAGTTTGATTCTGGCAGAGTAGGTAGGTACTTAGGCAACTATAGACAGGTAGTGTAGAGTATTTTTCGTATGTATAATGTAAGTTCTGTATAATCTTATACATTTGTGAATGGTACAATTTTCATTTAAATAAACAAAAAGTACCTATTCATTCTACCAGTTTGTTTAATTTATGTCACATGAATTAGATTTGTTATTAGCGAAAATTGAAAATACAGGGAAAACCCCTGTGATGTTATACCTACACAGTTTTTGATTTATGGAGACTTAAACCATAACGATATATTACGGTAAACGTGTAAAATTTATTTTAATGGGTAATTCCTGTTTATTTTCTATCGGCACCTAAATAACATTGAATTTTATGAAATAAACAAGGGTAATTCCTTTTTATTTGGAAAATTTACAGTTGTATATTGGCAAAACAATACTGAGTAATTCTACCTCTATTGTTTCGTTAGATATATGTACACGCGGCCACACATCAATCTATACAAAACCAGTTTATCCTGGTGTCGCGTCGCATCATCTTTCCGCACATTAACGTTCAATTTATACTGGTAATATAAAGCTCGATGTATAGCCGTGTGTACTTTGGTACATTTGGAAAAAACGAACCTATTTGGCTTGTTAAGTGACATTAGGGCGGCATGATGGCAAAATGCCATACACTCCAGTCTGTTAGATGCCAAAGTTCGAAAGGGGCAAACAGGAGAATAAAAATGCAAAACATTAAAATGGTTTAAAATAAAAGGCTTGAAGTTATCACTTGTATCGTTATCACTTCTATCATGGTACCTGGTACCGCTTGTTTGTATTTTTTAACCGACTTAAAAAACAAACAGGAGGTTCTCAATTCGACCGTATATATATATATGCTTTTTTTTAATTATGTTAAATAAATTCGTAGATCCCAACCCACGTTTAAAGATAAATTTATGTAAGTAGGTAGTTTAAAGTTTTATATAGCTTTAAGCAGAACGGTTTCTAGATGTCTAATGACTAAAAATAAATTTTATTTTATATTAATGAAAGCAAAACTAGAAGCCCCCAAAAAATACCTACCGAATACCCAAAAAATAAATGTTAACTAAAAAGGTGATAGGTACAGATACAAAGATAGGAATAACAACTTTCAATACGATTACAAGAATTATAGTATTTATAAAATTATAATAATTTATGGGCAGACTAGAATTTGTTTTTTTTAATAGGACAAGCCCGCCACAACCTCCCAAAACCGCTGCAACTCCTGTGAGCCAGGGTCTACAGTGGATACAAAAAGATAGAATTTGTTTTGTCATATTAAACTCGATTCATGGTCAAGTGGTTAAATACTTCGTATATCGGGGAAGCCCTTAAAAAAATCTTATACTAATGTTTCCCCATTAGAACTCATAAATTTTATTCAAGACATCATCTCAGTCTAGAAAAACGGTATCAGAAAAATTCTATCGTAAATTCAGAATTCCTTGAACTACCCTATCATAGGGATAGGGCCGGCAGAGATACCATTACCAAAAAATATAAACAGATTAGTCAACGCAAAACTAGAAAAATTATCTAATTCTACTTCAAGAATCAATGTTAGGTATGTCAACTTACCTTCGCCGCGGCTAATGGCAACAGGCACGGGGGCGTAGTTGCGGCACCCATACTTGTCTTCCAGGGCGAAGATCTCTTGAGAAGACAACTGATCGTTTTGTCCAACCATGCTGTACAGAAAAAACAAAAAAAAATTAGCAATATCAAAAAAACAACAAAAAGCTCAATGGTTAAACTCAACTTTTTTTTTATTCATAAAAAACGTACATTATTTCGTATGTAACTAAGTAGTGTATAGCAATCTAACACTGAACCTATGACTCCTATGAGTATCAGTATTACAGTGACAAAAAATAATGATCATGTGCCTTTATATAGCACCGCCCTGAGATGAGACAATAAAGAGTTTAGATTGCAGACTGTATATACATAGACGTAGGCACTTAAATAATTTCAATAAATATTATTAATAACAATTATTGCGCCCGGTGATAAACCTACAACTGAGTTATTGTTTGATTGATTACAGAAAGTAGGAAAGATACCAAAAACAGTTAGCGATACCTTGTAAATAACAATTAACTATTTATGTCAACGAGTCGCTAAACTCATATTTCAAACAATGCCGATGCTGTTTTATTATAAACCTATATTTCATTCATGCAAATATCTGAATGGGCAATGAAATAAAATCATTATTCATAATGAAGTAAACAAACAAAGTACATTAGCGATAAACTCTTAATGAAAGTCGTAATTGAAAGAAATGAAGCGGTCGGTATATCTACCTTGTGTCTGTTAAGTAACGCATTTTGTTTTATTTTCAAATAAAATTCGACAAGAGTAAAACCGTTAGGTAAACAACCCGGGAGAGGTGTGTCTGCGGCCAAAAATGTCCAATGACTGACTATAAATTACTGGCGTCGGAAAAATACAAGTAGCTACAGATTGTTTACTGTGTCAAGACATTACGTCATTCGCCCCCCGGGCTGATAATATCAATCGCGAAACTGGACGTCATTCGCAACATTTAACCCACTAAACGAATGTGTCATACTAGCTTAATAGAGGAAATTTTTGGCCGCCTTGAACCTCAAATCAATGTATGGACACCCTGTATAACTCACCTTTATTTTAATCTGAGTAATAAGTCACAGGAATTTCTTATCACGTACCAGTGTAACTACTTTGTTCTAACAATTGTGTGGATTCAATTCCGTTGATCAATATTAAACTTCTAGATATTTCTAAGGAGAGGTTATCAGTGTACGGTGGTGTAGGTACTGAAGTTATTTATAAATTTTACATCTAAACATCACACCACACCGTTTGGCTAATAGCACTCCCGGTTTTCCCTGACTATTGTATTATTCAGCAGCACTTATTTTTCTTTTGTTTTTAAAAAGGGATTTTCTCCTGTGTCATGTGTGCATTTATAAACCTACAAGTTCACATACAAAATAAAAAGAGCTGCTCCGTGCGGGAATCGAACCCGCGCCGACAGTCCATTTATAGAAAATATCAACCAATTTTCAGGTTCGTGACTTACTGGAAAAATTCTTAATAACATCACGAAATCGGAAATAGTGCCCGGTACATGGGGTCTTCCCTAAAATATACTTCTTAATAGAGAAAAGTAGGTGTTGCTTATAATTAAACAACTACCTACCACTTCGGGCAATAGAAGGCATGATATAATATCAAAGTTCTTCGTTGTATTTGCTATCATTGTCGATCATGTTTTCATAATAATTTACATTTGATGTACGGCCTATGTATCATTAAATCGATACGAGTAGTCGAAGTTTTAAAAATACTGTAGGTACCTAGATGGGTAAAAATGATCTCCCACGTGTACCTACCTATTAATATAGTATTAATTAAAGATTATTATAGTACTGGCATCCGTACAAATCAATAGTACGTGAACTGCACACATAAAACTCACTTAGTTGGTTGGCTTCTCCCAGTTGTGCTGTCTCTTTAGGCTTAAGTCATTATTTTTTTTAAGGGGAAAATCATCGAATGACTTCTCCCGCCTAGGTGAGGCGGGAGAGAGCGTCAGACTCTTACTGACTAAAAACCACCCCGTTCTTACTCCTGCACTTCGAACCGAAGCCCTGTTACGTTACCTGTAACGTTCTCCATAACAAATAAAAATATAAAAAAGCCTATGTCATACTGTCTCCTGCATTAATTAACCGAGGGAAGTGGAAACTATCGTGTTTTTTTCTCCTCTGATTTATATCGTTGCCGTACCCAAAACAGTTATTCATATCTCTGAGACGTTCCGGACTTCAGTGCTCCGGTATTTCCACGATTGTATCTTCTGTAGATCTTGGCTAGATCTTGGAGAGGTAGTGGTCGCGGACTTGCCCACAAAAAAAAAACTTCGTGAAACTACGTGTCGGTAGGTACGAGCCCTCCTGTATCTTAACATCATTATCACTTATGTCTAAAAGTTAAACATAACAAGCCTCATGTGACAAATAGATAGCAAACAAAGAATAAGAACATAAATGTACCTCTATACTGTAATAAACAACTGCTTGTTTAGGTACTTTGAAAAGTTTTTTATTCCAAAAAAAATTACTTTGATTGGAAAGCTTTCTTTTCAATGAGTAGGTAGGTACCTACTTTCCAACGAAATCGATACTCTGTCGAGAGCAATTTTCTAAATTCCAAACAGGCGAAACCGCAGGCGAAAAGCTAGTTTGTAATACCTACCTATTTTAGTTATTTCGCACTGATTTGACAGTCGTGATCTAGTGTTTATATCCCCGTAGAACAAAAACGATTTAATGTTGTTAGGATATAAAATTATTAACAATTTGATCATGACCTTCCTTAAATAGATTCACGAATCATGCAGTTTGAATGTAATAATAGGAAATAACCACAAAGTCACACAGTGATACGTCGGCGTCGGTCCTATAATTGTTTATTTATTAGTATAAAATAACGTCAACTGGTATTTTCCTTTATTCGTGGGTGTGTCCGTCACAACACAACACAATTAAGGCTATTCAAATGTGTTCGTCACGAAATTGAGATGACAACTGTCGCAATAGGACAGCACAAACAACAAACAAACATCTAAATTAAGTAAAATCGCGGGTTAATCACGTGAATATATTACGAAAAGCTCTTTGAATCGCTCGCGTTATTAGTTATCGAGATAATACCTCTACAAGTGTCCGGCGTTAGGTGCCGTCTGGCGTTACGGGACTTCCCCCTGTGGCCTGTTAGGTCTTTGGGACTGCCAATAAAGGGTGTCTCGCTCAAGTTCGACCCCTGAATAATGTCTTACTTCTTACTAATACTACATAGACATAGGCGAAGGTTTGTGAGTTATGTTTGTGTGTATGTTTGTTTCCTTATTACGTCAAAACGGCTGAATTGATTGGGATGAAAAATGACTCCACGGTTGCCGCGCAACGTGTATCAGGTTCGATTCCCGCACGGAGCAACCCTTTGTATGATCCACAACTTGTTGTTTCCTGTCTGGGTGTCATGCATGTGTATGTGAACTTGTATGTTTGTAAATGCACCCACGATAAAGGAGAAAATCCTAGTGTGGGAGCAACGACTGTAAAAAATAAGAATAAGAAAAAATAACACATCGGATACTTTTATCACGCGCGAACACGAGCGAAGCTGCTGTAGGTAAACTGGAATTATGGCCGAGTATGATATGGGATATTTTGTAATAAAAATTTTACAAAATACTTCTAATATTAAAAAAGTGCAATGCAATAACTGTAACCATAATGCAAGTTCGTTTGTAATGGAACTTATATACTACATAATATGTGATATTAAGTTTATTTCAATGTTTAATTATTCTCTCTGCCTCGTTGGCCGAGTGGTCGCAAGTGTGACTCCCGGGGAATTGTACTCGTGTTCGATTTCCGGATCGGGAAAAGTGTAACTGGCTTTTTAAAAAAAATCTCAGTAGTAGCACGGAGTCTGGAATTGTGCCCAGTACATGGCAATAGGCTCACCCTCTATTACATGGGATTCATAACATAAATAGTGTAAAGTGGGTGTTACATTGTACGCATTAAGTCCCGTAATGTGCACCTCTGTCTACCATTTCGGGGATAAAAGGTGTGCTATTATATTATGTGTTTAATATTTCTATGGTAGGTAAGTAGCTTGCAACGTTCAGATTTCCCTTACTTCTGAATCTTGAAGTCCTATGAAATCTTAAGCATGACCTACAGACGAAGATTCATTCATTATCCCTTGTTATCTTATCACTTTCAAGTCTTTCAACCTTCTTTAGATTTCAGGGGTGAGATTATAAGATCAGACATCAGACTGTGATTAAATACTTAGTACCTGAGTACCTACTTCTCTATTTATTCCACGTGCTCAAAACCGGAGTACCTACCTACGTCAGTCGTCATTAACAAATATTGACTCTACAATTTACTCAGATATAAATAGTTTTATGACTTGGTTTATGGTTTAATTGTATTTTTTATAACAATGTTGAATTCAAATTTATCTAAAGTAGGTACATACCTAGCGTACCTATATTATAGCGTATACCTTTAAGCATTAGGTAAGTACCTTAATTCTTTCTGATTTGTCAAGGACTATCACTTCTTATTGGCGTGAAACCTAAGAGTTTTTATTTCTTTCTCACCTTATAAACCACGACAGCTAAAATAATTGTACAATATACATTTATTAATATCAGATATACCTACTTACATACAAATAAGTATCCACCTAAAATTGGGTTGTGTAAATACCTCAATAGTTAATTGAGTAATTTTCCCCCAGAAGTCACCGTTAACTTGCCGGCGTCAAGGCAAAGGCAATTAGAGCTTCTATTTAAACAAATTTAATGATGCAACAATAAAATATTTAATACAATAATTATAATTATCTTCATAATTGCCTATCTACCAATTACGTCTTGACAAGTTAAATGGTTATTCAATATGACCACGGAAATCTGGTTTGATTAAACTCCAAATGCGCTTAGAGCCAGTCATAGTTAATTATCCAGAAATGTAATCAAATAAGTCATGAACTTAGTTTAATTTGTTTTACTTCATTAACGATTACATAACTCATGTCTACGGACAATCAGACAATTGTCGTAACTAATGGGGATTCAATTTAGCTTATTTAAAAATGATTAGGTAGCTAGGTACACCAATTGATTGATCCAACAAATAGCGAGGTCACAACCACTGCTTGGTAGCAATAGATATTTTTGCTAACATATCAACCGAACACTGCTGATTAATGCTCATACCTCCTCCGTGAGAAAAGAGGACTTTGGGTCCGCACTGCGGCATACAGGTCAGTCCATAAATACGACTATACAGGGCTTAACTCATACCAGCTAAACTAGAAATAAAGGAAGATATTTAGACTTATTTCTTTAGCAGGTGAGGCGACTTTTGAAGTCACGGGGCACGGGGCTCAGTAACCTCAAAAAAGACGGTAGCAGTGATCACGTGCCGCTATGCACAGTCATAACAAGAGTTGCATAGTGGTCTATTTAGTGGACCACTGGGTGATTTTAGTGGTGAGAATTCCACACTACCTACTATCTAGTTTTTCTCCACGAAAAGCTAGGCGCCTTTTGAAGACCTGACCTGTCTGAACACAACTACGAGAAACTATCAGCTCAGCTATGATCTACAAATTGTATGAAATAAATAAAACATGGTTTAGAAATAACACAATATATACTATTTATTCTCTACGATCACAGGTCATAATGACAATCTCATTTAAATAAATGATACTACATTATTAAGTAAAAAGGATCAATAACTACCAGTATCATACAGTAAGGACAGCACCTGGTAATGAGAAACAGTATTCCCACGATAACAATAATCTATTCGGCGCCAAAGGAGCGCTATAATATGGCGATAAAATAATGAAACATAGTTGTCTATGTTTTAGATTTTACTTTTGTTCTTTTAATAATTAATTATAACTATTTTTTTTATTTTGTTTTCAAGAAAACGAATAATACACTTGTAAATAATTAACACACTGGTATGTTATACTAGACAATGAACTACTAGTTTCTAAAAGCTGTATGTACAGTTATTGAGCATGCAAAACAAGTAAATACCTATTACTAGTTAGTAAAACAAAATTGAACAACAAAAATAATATCCTAATTAATAAGAATTGTTCAACAACTCTGAACATTCTAATACATAAATATATTATTTTATTAACTAAATAAATATCAATAATTAATAACTCTTCATTTATTGGGTGGTTCATTTTGTGAATCACCGGCATGGTAGTCTGGATAAATAGGGAACGATTGGTGCCCCTTTTCTGGTATTGACGGCAAAGATCCTCCTTCGGCCAACCTCTTGGCTTCAATTTTAGCTGCATTTATTTTCTTCATCTGAGCTATAGCAAGATTCTTTGTGATCTCTTCTTCTGTTGGTGGCTCTTGCCTGCAAAGTGTACATTATTATTTTTTTCCAAGATTCAAATACTATTCATTAAGGGGAAAATAAGTATCAGTACACCAATGAATTCATACTAGCTAGGACCTAAGGAGGACCACTTAGTAGGAGCTCTTGTAGAGCTATAGGCTATCTACCTAATATAGAATTTCCTAGTACCAAACCATTGGATATTCAATTCTTAACAGCTACAATGATTGGGCAAGCTGGACTACATGCTACAGTAGTGTCATTTGGTGACCAAAAAAGATAGCCCACATCTGCTGTGTGATATGATAATGTAGAACAATATTAACTACCTTCGCATCCTCAACCAAGCCTCCCATTCTGCAGGTATGGGATCTTGAAAATCTTGGCCTTTTGGTGGATTGTACCACCTGGTAGGCTTCCTCTTACCCTCACTGGGATCTGCAGGTATTTCAAAATAAGAATTGCCAATGTAATCTTTACCTGAAATTGAAAAGAATTGTGTTTTCATAACATAAGAAACAAAAATGTGTAGGATTATGTTTTGTAGTACCTATGTTGTTTATGTAGGTACCTGATGTGTTGACAATGATGACTTGGAAAAATGCCAACAAAAACAAAAACCATATTCTAATATTAAAGTTTGAACCTCAATGCACCAAAAATCATGATTACATAAATATATTAATGCAAGTATGAATTGTTAGGTATATTACCTACTAATTTCCCATATTTGTTTCGAAGTTGAAAAAACCTTTTTGAATGGTAACATGTATTGAATGTGTTTCTTTCATTAAAATTCTTGGAGTCGTATTTATCTTTAAAATTAACAGTAAATTGAGATTTTAAATACTGTATATTGTTATATTACAACAGAGCTAACACTAGTAAAGTTAAGACATTTATTACATACCCATATCATTTCCTCTAATCCGGCGTGGTTTAAAGGAGTTGATAAAGTTTCTAACTACCATCCAATAGACATTTCTACTTTGACCAGACATCTGGAAATATAAAGTCAGTAAGTAAACATGCTAGCCATCAATATTTTTTAAAGCATTTAGTAACACGGAGTCCCTAGATTGAAATTTCTTGTCTGTTATTTTATGATACTTTTTTTTGACTTGTCAGAAAAATAGTTATTTTAATACCTTTTCTAATAATATCAATAATTACGTCGCTTCTCTTCTAAAAAAATGTTATCATTTTCATAACCTCGTCAGTCAATGAAATGAAATCAGTCAAATTGACATTGATAATTGTCATCAGCTGATTCTAAATTGTCAGTTAATCAATGACAAAATGATGCAATGAGTGAATGAAGCAACAGATAACCTATAATTCATGAAGGAACGAAAAAAGTTTTTTACAACGGGCAATTTTGCAGCCTTTTATAACTAGTGATGTCTTCAAGATTACTTAAATGTTGGAAAAGAAATTACATTCACGGAAATTATAGTACTTATATAAATTCAATATGTATGTGTGAATTTTAGTTGTAGTTTTAGGCCATTTTTTTTTCATATTTGTTTAACAATATTCAAATAAGACAAAGATTTTGGATCGTGTCTAAGTCGATACTATTTATTTCTTTCTCACTTTCCTTCCTAACCACAACACTCAAAAAGTCACAAAAGACAGATATATATTACACATCACTATTGTGTTAATCGTGTTTATGCATACCTATACGTTGTTATAAAGTTAGGATATAATTTATTATTATTAGTGTCTTTCCCTTTGGACTGTTGAACTTTTTACACCGCAAACAGTAATATATTAAAGCAGTCACCATGGCGAAAATGGCATTTCAACACCAGGCTGGAACAGCTATGGAGTGTCTTAGTGTAAGTTTGGAAGACCACTCCCAGTTTTGTTTGTTTTATTCTCTCTTTACATATCAACAATGTATTGACAATCTTTTTCAGATACCTATAACACTCCAGAAGGAAGCTGGTGTTGACTCAGAAGGAAGAGAAGTTATGAAATGTGGTTTTAAAATTGGCGGTGGAATTGACCAAGATTTTCGCAAAAGTCCACAGGGATACACTGATAATGTAAGTTTTCTGCAAGTACAGATTAGTTTTCACTTATTTTTTGTAGCAGTTACGTCAAACTATTAAAACCATACCTGTTTTAGGGTATCTATGTAACAGAAGTACATGAAGGAAGCCCTGCAGCAAAATCTGGATTGAGAATGCATGACAAAATACTGCAGTGCAACGGCTATGACTTCACGATGGTAACACATAAAAAAGCAGTAAGCTATATAAAGAAACATCCAATCTTGAACCTATTAGTGGCAAGGAAAGGTGTTACATCTACATAAAGCAATTTGTTACAGACCATCTTACTTATAAACATTATTTAGTTTTAACAACTTGAAGGTTTATCTATCCTTACTTCCTTACTTATCCTTACTTTCCTTACTTATATTATATTTAAGTAAGGAAAGTAAGTATAAGGATTATGCAATACTTTATACTTTGCAATAAATAACTTTGACTTTGACTATATGAAATTATGTACTTAGTAAAATATAAGGACAAACTATATTGCAACTATGAATACTATTTGAATGATTTCTATTAAAACTTCTTTTCATATTTGATATGATTCTTATCAGAAGATAAATTGAGTAGTTAAACAGCTTTGTGTTGAAAGAATACAATAACTGTTTTATGTTTCTTAGCACTACTACATAGTTTTGCTTCAACCCCATCCGATGTATGGCACTTTTTACCAATCAACTGCTGATTTCTACCACTATATCACATTCGCTTGAGCCTTAACTCATCGAGTACCGTATTTATAGACACAATTAAAGAACAATAGGTTGCGGTCACCGGTGACCGCTTGGTGTTTGACAGTTTAAACAAACTAATATAGGTACACACTTCTTTTAATATGTTGATATTATTGTAGCAAAAGTTTGTCCATATAAAATTAGTTTATAAACATCGTAAATAAGGTCTATAATTAATTAGTGAAGACGTGTCACCGGTGACTGCTTGGGTATCGAGCAGATACGAGTAATATTACAATATTCTTAAAAATATCCCAGCTTTATATATTTTAAACTAAACAATTATTCCACGCAGTATTTCCTAAATACCAATAATATATTACGTGCACTAAGATTTACAACTATAGTTACATGACTAAATTTTTACACCAATTTTTTATATCCTTTTTATACATTGTACATTTTATTTATAAAGTTTTAGTAAGTTTATAAGTTTAGTTTTATGTATCATAATTAAATAAATAAGAATGAAATAATAATATCCAAATACTCAAGCGCTACTCAATAAAGTTTGTGATCTTTTGTCAATACTAATAATAAAATGTACTAAGGTTAAAATTACATGTTATTTTAGACTCGGACTTACTGTCTCTTAAAATATTCGTAGATTTTGTACCATTAATAATTCTAGGTCTGTGTCTATGTTCAAGTTAGCAGGAATGGCTTCTATTTTCACACATTTCATATTTATGGACAAAATTACAAATTATCTACATACTAACAAAAATTTAATGAAATATTGTAAATTGGGTTATTCTAAGTATATAAGTAAATATTATTGTTAGATTTTTTTAAAATTATAAAATAATAAAGCCTCAAGTAATTATAAGGTTTATAAGTAAATTGGTGAATTGTTTGAATTTTGAGTTAAGAGCTTGGAGTATGGAGCACTGAATTAGTATTATAAAATGACAAGTGATTATAATAATGTTATTTATTTTTTTTACTTATAAGTTTAGTTAGTAAAGTATTGCATTACTGTTTAATTGTGAAAAAATTGTAACTGTCCTACATAGTACAGCGAATTACTAAGAGGCATTTGAAAGTATTTTATTAAATGAGTTACCAATGACATATTTTTATACTAAACAATTGCATTTACACCAGCAATAGTTATAATTTTTACTTGATATAAATTAAGCATGAATTTGTCATGGAATAATGACGTAGTTTAAGTATTTATTAGTGGTTATATTTTTGAATTTATAAAAATTTATAAATTGGTTATATGTATAGATACTATCTGCTTTACTCTCACATACGTAATATTGAATTGGATTCATGAAAGTAAAATATATTAATTAAATAAAAATGTGAATTTAATTTACAAATTGGGAGTGTAACTAGATAATATGGTAAAGGTGTTTGTGAGTAAGGCAGTTATTATAAGTTACTTTTAACTTTACCTTGTTATGGTTCATTATACTTAAGCATCATTAGTAAAGATTAGACTTTCTAACTTCATCACACTACCATACTGAAAATGCAAAGTATTAATGGAATTTGTTTTGAAAATATCTTAATATTAGCACTGAGTCAGCAACTCGTGTGGCGAATTAGCACAAGACTTGGTGCTTATTACAAAAGTCCCATCTCTGGTGAAAACTGGATGTTACACTGTGTAGTGTCCTTGCACTTTCCGAGATTAAAAAGTACCTATTACACATTTACATTATCTTTGATAATGCAAGTCTATGGTCACTCAGCTAAGTTTTTTTTACAGATAAAGAAGATTAGTAACTAATATTATAGAGCCTAATAATATTTGACCCCGTCTAAAAATAAAATAATACAATTACAAACTCTTTTGTATAACTACATGGTTTTATGCACTGTGCCAAATAACACTGCTCCATTTTTAATTATTTAATTTTTACATGTATTTGAACTGAAACATGTTATTAGTTAATAAAATGAAAAACCATTTATATAATTTGCTTTTTATTATTTATCCCATTCTGTTTTGTATTTATTAAATACAAGTCTTCACTGTTATGTACTGTTATCATCTACATTTTGAAGCATTAACAGAAATATGTATTCACATTAATATATATAATTACTACTTTACAAAGTTGCTATCATGAATTTAATTTAAGATTTGGTAGGAGGCCAGTCCCATTGGCCTTTGGGTGGAACAGATACAAGTGGTTCCCATGGCTTCCAGTTCAGCATTTTTCTAGCCAAGTTCAATTCATTTTCAGCCTGGATAATCAGTTCCTCAGCTTGCCCACAGTTGATTTTTGATTCCAGTTCATACACATCTTTAGTCTGAAAATCATAATATTATTGTGAAGTCATGGTAAACAGAGAAATGTCCTGGTTTTATAAAAAAGTTGTTGAATTTTTGTTTACCTGTGTCAACACAGCAGCTCTCTCACGAATAAGTGGTTCAGTATGTTTCCTATAACCAGCGGATTCAGGCATTTTTTGTAGGACTCTCAAAATTTTGCCATACAGAGAACCAAGTGTGTGATGGGCATTTGGCGCTACTGCCATGCCAACAAGGCCTGTACTCTGGAATCATAGAAAACATTGTTTTCATTAGTTCAATACAGTATTCAAATGGGACACAATTATATACACCGTTTCAATATTAGAGGTAGTGTCGTATAGATATATGATGTATATGGTGATATCAATGATTTTGAAGTAATATACAACTGAAACTCTTGGAGATAACAAGTCGAAATGAATGTTAAATATTTTCTTAGTTGGGTTAGATGGTCATCTACGATTTTATCTCGTTTCACACGTGAATTTGTAGTGATTCCGTCAACACTCTGTATAGGTGACTTCCATAACATAAATATTCTTCTAGGGAGGTCTTACTCCATAATACTTTACCTTTTTAAGAGATCCCATTGCTAGTGATTAGATAACTTACAATAAGAAAACACCTGCAAAGCAAACCCTCAGTTGATTTCTATTTGACAATGACAATAGTAACAATTAGTGACATTGACATTAGATGTGCACTACCACAGACTATATAACTCTACCGCTATAACTCGTGTTCTCATATCCATCAGACTATTTTGCAAGTCCGCCTCCTTAACCACCCCTTTATCGCCTTGTGTCTTGAAATTGAAAAATATTTTTTATACTAACTCAAGAATAAATATATTTTTTTGGAAACTTAATAGTCATCGAAGACTTCGCGTAGAAAACTGAATGACATTGAACAATAGATAATCTGTGACCGTCCTACTCATTTTGATTTGTTGTTGCCCTATAGAAAAACGATTTGTAAAATAATGAAAATTGTCAAGCTGTTTTTCTCAGTCTCAGTAGATTTCTGTCCGTTTCTTTCTCGGATTTTATACCAATAATAAATGGCCTTACATCTTACTTATGAACTTTAGTGTATGTTTTAATACACGTAGATTCACTTAATTAGAAATACTGTTATTTCCATTCCAATTTTCGTGTGTGCGAACGTGTTTTATAATGCGCTATTGGAGCTCGTTCATTTGTGTTTTTATTACTGGTTCAGGAAATAGATTATGTCGACTGCGATTATGACTATTGAAATCACGACCCAATGGTCATGTATCTGTGTTATAAGACAAATGAACTAAAGAATTTTATGGTATTTAAATAAAATCGAATCTCAGTGACTAAACTCTGGTATATCTCGCTCGGCACGTCACAATTCACCAGAAATCTGTCAAGATCACACTGTCAGTAGGTAAGGTACGTGAGCGTGAGTTTTATCATCTGATGAACTTCCATTTTATGTACTGTGTTATGCACAGTTTAAATATAACAATGGAACGAAATTTCGTTTACTTGTTATCAAATTGTGGATGATGCACACCCAAATGTATTTGCATGCATAAACATGTTCTTAATCGTAATCTGACATTCACATAATTCATTTCATAGTGAGCAAATAACAAGTACTTACATATTGAAACATAGCCTTAACATACCTAATTGTATATACATAACATATATAGCACTTATACATTATATGGGCATTTGATTACTCTCAAAGCAAATCAATAACATGCCTTTGAAGTGTCAATAAAAAAAATAACAAAACATTCCACTCAGTGGAGTGTCTTTACCATTATAATAATGAAAAATAAATTTTTAAGGTTACTTTATAATGATTTCAAGAATAGGTAATATAAATACCATGTTATAATGATAATTACAAAGTGCAACCCTAGCTAATTTATGTGTTATACATATAATTAAAGTTTATGATTACCATTTACAGGTAACTAGCCATGGAAACAGTGCCTGTTGCTCCAGATGACAGTGCTGGAGCAAATCCCAGCAGTGTTAAAAGTGATGACAGCAGTCCCAGGCCTGACAGCCGCTCAGGCTCACCTCCACCAAACTGTGCCATATGTCTCGGCACATGCAAGAATAAATCCTTCACAGACTCATGTTTACATCAATTTTGTTTCACATGCCTTCTTACATGGAGTAAGGTGAGTTTTTAAAATTAAAATGTATTAAAATTTTTATTAAATCTACTGTTCCTAACGGCTATCTATAATACCACAATATGCATTTTATAATGAATTCTTGATAATGACTATTAATAGGTACTTACTTCTACTTGTAGCTTTATTACATTTGATGTATAATTGCCTGATAATTAAATGATTTAATAATATTATTGTTTAGTACCTGACATACCCAGCTAGCTGCCTTCGTTATAACAATTATTGAATATCTATAAATTTAATGAGCATTTATGATTGTATTCCAGGTGAAAGCCGAGTGTCCACTTTGCAAACAGGCATTTAGATCTATCATACACAATGTGCAGTCTAACCTTCAATATGAGGAATACTTGGTTGTGCAAAGGGAAAATGAGGAGTTGAACAACAGGATTGACATCAACAGAGTCACCGCAGCCACTCAAAGGTTCAGATACAGGTACTGTGGTGGGTCTGGTACTTGTATGATGTTGCCAATCAACTCATACACAACCATCACACCCTACAGAACATAATATTCTTTCTTGTTAATCTGATAAATGAAATGAATAAATGTTAAATAATTAAAGATGACAAACAAAATCCTGTATTGCACAATATTATTGTTCATTATGCAATGTCTTGATAGGTCTAGAATCTTCTAGCCAAATACTAGATGAGTCATGACTTTAACCCATGACCTTACAAATTACTTTAGAGGGTTTCCTCATCTTATACAAGTAGGATGAGTTACAAAATATGATGAATATAGAGTTAAATATATTTTAGAAATCAACCTGAGGCTAAACAGTATTCTTGAGTATACATTAAGCACTTATTTCTTCCTTATGCACACCTCACCCTTTGGAAAATATATAGTTTGGTTGCAATTCTACGATTCTGACAATAAATCAACTAGTTCAATGAATATAGCAAACAAATAGATAAGTTTTGAAAACATGCTTTATCTGATAAATGAGTTAAATGTATATTTATTGTCAAGTCATTATTTGGTATGGTAGTAAGTACTTAGATAAAAAAGTCTACAAAATGTATACTAGCTACCAATAGAACCTAAATAAAAATTATGTTTAAATCAATCTAAAGTATTTTATAATTATCTATTTCTTGAAACAGATGAGTTTGTCATTTTTAGTTATTTTAGTATATAAACTTATCAATAATGTAAGGCGTAAGCTTCTATCATACAACAGAGGGTTGTGACTACAGGACCACCCTGACGCTGCCGCGAACGGACTCGGTTGCCATCCAGCAGCTGTTACGTCAATACCCGTTAATGGCGAACGTGTTCCCGCCACCAGTGTCGCGCGTGCCGCCCGCTCGCCGCCGCCGCTCTCCCGCCTCCTTCCGACGCACCGTCTACAGACACAACCTGTGGGCTCGCCCTCTACCAGACTTCACTGGCAGATATCGTGATTGCACACCCGAATTCTATAGGTAAAATGATTCTCAGTCTAATATTTTAGTGTTTTCATGGTTGTGGCGGGCTTGTCCCAAAGAATATTTTGGTACTAAAATATGTATGGTTTTTTCGAAAAATATCCCTTTTAGCTTTAGCTTTTTATTAAAATATATTAATTTGGTCTTTCAAGGTATAATGACACACAAATGCATCGGTTGGTTCCTTGGCTTAATAGAGAGCTCCATTATTTATTAAACGAAAATGAAGGCCACATTTCATATGTAATGACTCGGATCCTGGAATTGCTACCACAACACCATATCAACTCGCCCGAATTCAGAGAAGTAATGCAACGATATTTTGGAGAAAGAACTGAACACTTCTTGCATGAATTGTATTGTTTTGCCTCTACACCGTACGACATCACTGGCTATGACCGCAATGTCCAATATACGACGGATAGCAGAATATCTACAATGATAAACGAGGTGATATCTAGTACTGACTCTGAGGGAAGTGCAGATTCCGATATTGTGATGGTTTCAAGTTCAGAACCAGCAGAACAACCTGCGGGACCCTCTAGGTGCCCGGCACCTGTTTACCCAGTCGGATATATACCATTGCCTACAACAGCTAACAACATCATTTCTATTGAAACCATAGGATCTCAATCGGACTCGGACGACGACGACTCCGAAGTAATGGTCGTGGGCTATATCAAACCGCCTCAGGAAAGGACTCCAGAAATTGTGGACTTGCTAGGATCTGACAGCGACGTTATCGTCCAGGACAATCCGCAACTGGAGCCAGAACCTGCGGTAGCGCCGCGCATGCCGTCTGTGAAAGTGACAATGAAGCGGCACCGCGTGCGGCTCGAGTCCGACAGCTCGGACAGCTCGTACCGGCCGCTCCCGCGCCAGCGACGGCGCGCGCGTTTGGCCTCCGCCTCCACCAGTGACACTAACCGTTCCACGCCTACACACGCAGCCTCTAACTATTATCCCAACCCTCGAGTCGCTGAAAATTCCGAGACTGGCGAAACCTGGCAGTTTTTTTCCTCCTCACCCGCCTCGTCCACAATATCCACAAAGTCTAGTACGACCACTGCCCGCTCCTCGTCGTACGATAGCGACGACAGCGACGATTCCAAGTTTGTAGTTAAAAAGAAATCAAAGAAAAAGTCTAGCAGGGAGGCAACTTCTAGTAGAGATCGAAGGAAAAGCAAAAAAAAGTCGTCACGGTCACATCACAAAGATAAAAAGAATGGCCAGTTCTCGGACAAGGACAGGAGAAGTAAGAAGTCGTACTCGGGGAAAGGAGTAAAGTCGTCTAAAAAAGCGAGTAGTAGCTCTGTAACCTCGGAACAAACTTTACCTCCCTCCTTAGATGAACCCAGCACGAGTGGCACAAGCGGCACGTCTACAAAGGAGAAACGTAAATCAAGCAAAGAACGGAAACGTCAGCGACGTGACAGTCGCGAGAACAGAAGACTGAGAAGTGTTGTTAATGTTATGTATAGTAGTCATAATAAAAATATTAATGGATCAAAGTCAAGTGCAAATCATAATGATGTGTCTACAACAACTACAAGTAGGTCTGAGGCCGAATCCACTACTACTAGCAATGGATCACGAGTTGCCGAAGCGACCTCATTGAACGGTTACAGCGAGCTACCGTCGACGAGTCGTCGACCACCGGACTCCTCGTCGGATTCTGAAGACAATTTGCCATTAAATCTTACGTTACTAGGGCCACAACGTTCGTCTTCGTTATGAAGTGCCGAGTAAATGTCATATTGTGATAACTTATTAAAACGAAAGCATTAAAATTTGTGTTACATCTCCGCATAAGTACTAATTGTGATCGAGTTGCATCTCACTTTCTCTAAAGTACTGGAAAAAATAAACCAAAGCCTTTGTAACTGCAAGTATTTGTACAATAACTTTGTATGTGTCTTGAAATTCACACGAAAATGTTATCGTGTATGTTGTGGTTATCCGAAAAATATATAAGGAAAGTAATAGGTTTGTTGCTATTTTGTCACATTTAGGTTGATGCAAATCCCTGAAGTGAAACTACATGTAATATTTACACAAGAGCTGCTACAAGCACCTAGCTCCAATTTTTATAAAATGTGTAAGTACAACATGACGACAGTTCTGTTGCAATTTTGTGTGTATCAGTTATTTGTATTCTATTTTTACTCCAAAATTTTAATACCATTTCTGCCAAAAAATGATCATGTAATATAAACATAATTTCCCTACTTATTTCATATCTTAATTTAATTACGGGTATTTATGTACATTATGGACGAATTCATTTAATGTAAGAAATTTTGATAAATACATCGTTATGAACAATTTACAAGTTGTGAATATTTAATGCTGTGTAAATAGTAAAAATGATTTTAATACAACATTTATTTGAATCTTAAATGAAATGTTAAGTTTTGCCATTTGAGGAATTATCGCGATATTATCGATGGACCATAATGTAAAGCAGATGAAAGTGTATAAATTGTAGCTTTGCCTTAAAATTCATTCAAAAAATGAATTACCGATTATCGGATTTGCTACTTAAGCAACGCCTTTATTTACGATGACAATGTTGAGAAATATTATTGTTACAAATGGTCATAAGGTTTACAGAGACACCGTATTTTACTGATGAAGCCAGAAAATAAAGTGATGTATAAATAATTATGTTGATATTGTTCTTAACCCGATCGTATATTTAACCGACTTCAAAAAAAGAAGGAGATTCTTAATATGACCTGTAAGTATGTTTCTGCGTGAACTTGGGAGAACATTTTAGTATACTAATTAACCGACTACAAAAAGATTATTATAAAACAATATTTGTAATGTGAGGATCTAATGGGGTGTGTGACAGTTCATTAAAGATCTAGTAGGCTAATACGGTCTGCAACACAGAATTCCTTTCAAGTGAATGATATAATTATTGGTATGTAAAATACCAAACATATCCAAGCTATGCGTTTCCTTGGCGCCTACATTTCATATCAGAACACGCTAGACTGCTTCAGCCGGCTTACATCTCCGCTTAACTAGCCGATGAGTATGTACCTGAAAACAGTTACTCTTCGTCGCCGCTTTGGTGGAATCTAAATCTAGGCCTACTGAGTGCCTAGTGCAAATTCGTTTTCGTACTCGTCGAGTACCGTATTTATAGACACAATTAAAGAACAATAGGTCGCGGTCACCGGTGACCGCTTGGTGTTTGACAGTTTAAAGCGATCGACCCGTCTATGACGATCGGCGCTCTGATTGGCCTGCTCCAATAACCTAGTTCGTTAACTTGGAACTGCGAATCAGAGCGCTGAACGCGGTGACGCCAGATGATAAAGTTGGTGATATTTTTTACCATCTACACTAACTAGTTGGTATTTGTTTATACCTGTTCGGTCAAATAGTGACCGAGTGTTTAACTAGAACCACGTAGTTGTAGAGAGTTAGACGTGTTGAGAATGCCATCGCTTCAGAAGAATATCATATTACCTATACTAAGGAATGCTGAATAGGAATAAAAAACCTTAATTGAATTATTCCATTTTACTCTTAGAATTCAACAAAATACATATTCTATGTTGTGTAATACTTACAAATTGTTGACATAGTCTGTATTAAAATATAAGATTATATCTTAAAATATTAATATTCCTACATTTTGCTGCACCTAAATATTATATCTATGGTCTGAGAAAGCTAAATAAAAACGTGAAAGCTAAATCATGACCAATGTATGTTGTACCTAGCACAACAATAATTCTTGTTATGAAGTTTTCATCACTTCCACTTAACAATGTAGGCCATATATCAATTCATCAGTGGCAGCACAAAAATGGCAAATATTATATTTCATATTCTAAATACACATTGTTTCTAACTCCTCCAAACCCCACAATGCTACTTTTATAAAGTAAACATTTCTACAAGTGTAGTGTAAAACTGAGCAAAAATAAAAAAACTTGATGGACGGCTAGTCAAGTCATCAAATATGGACAACAAAAGTTGTACATAGGTATAACCATATTGATTATTATAATGGTTCTTTCTGAAACATACAAATTAGAATTTCATCTATTAAAATCTTGATTTTCAATTCAGACCTTATTTCTAACTAATTATTATTAGCAGCAAATTAGTTAGCACCAGCATATAAAGCCAATTAGTAACGGATAACACTGTACTGACTACCGATGACGCAGATTGCAAGGCAACAATTACAAAAGCATTTACTTACAAATAGAATGCACATCTATGCAAACTTACATATAATAAAATATATTGCTCTCATTATCACTACAATTTTAAAGGCTTTTTATTGATGTTTTGAACAGGTGACTAACAGTTACATGTTTACAAACTATTATCATTATAATGTTGGGCATCGGTACAAAAGCTTGTATTTAGGAAGCATAAAAGGTATTTAGAACTAGGAAAGAACAAAATTGACAAAAATTGATTTATCAGAAGGACTGTTGTCAATTTGTCGAAAGTCTTTGAGAGACTGAGGATCATGCTGTCAATATTTTGTACCTGATCCTGCGATCATGCAGTGTACTCACAACAAATGTTGATCACAAAACTTATCACTGTTGTGGTGTACCTGACTCACACCTGTTACACTGAAGTTCACATTGTACTTTTTCAATTACAAAAACAAAACCATATAGTGACTATATACCAACACGCCAACATCAATAACTAGGTATTGGACTAAAAGTATTTCACATTATAGAGGCATTAAATGCCAAAAGTTGTGGCCAAACCAGCAATATTTTATAATATATTATTTTTTTAATTTTGTGCATATATTACTTATCGCCTAAAGATAAAACCAATTATATAAATGTATAACTATCTGAAAAAATGAATACAATTAATCGTATTATTTTCATAATCTTAACAAATAATGTTAGATTTACTTATGCTTTTGTTATGGAACTTACATATAAGGGTAATAGAAGATTGGATAAAGCGCAGTAGACAGACGAGGTGACTGTGTCTATGAGTTTACTACAGAGCTGATACTGGACAAAATCTTAAGTTTATGGAATCTTAGGATTATAAATTAATAGATAAGGACTATCTAAATTCCCAGAATTAAAGTATATCGCGAACACTGACGAGTATGACTGAACCAAGAATTGCTCATATACGAAAAATGGCACAAACAACTCCAGTATAACATTTATACTTATGAAAATCTTATACTATTATAATATGACGCGAATCTATGAAACTTGGTTCGATTAGAAAAAATATTATTTGTGTTGAATAGTCCACTTATCGAGGAAGGCTGTTATAGGCTATAAAACATCACGCTACGATCAATAGGAACCGAGCAGAGCAAGTGAAACCGCGCAGGAGTAGCTAGTTACTTCATAAAATGATTTATTGTCACGTTTCGATGCCAAATCTGCTTATAACTGGCGAATACAATAAACGACCGCTTTAGGTAATAAACGTAACATCACGCCTTTTATCCCCGATGGGGTAGGCAGAGGTGCACATTACTTAATGCCACTGTACAATGTAACACCCACTTTTCACTATTAGTGTTGATGAGTCCCATGTAATAGGGGATGAACCTATTGCCATATACCGGGGCACAATTCCAGACTCTGTGTTACCACTGAGAATTTTTTTTAAACCCAGTAATATTTGCCCGAACCGGAAATCAAACCCGAGATCCCTTGCCCGGCAGTCACACTTGCGACCACTCGGCCAACGAGGCAGGTAATAAACAGTGTGTATGTTTTGTAGTCTATCGTCTTAAAAATATCCTAATGCTTGATTATTATTCCAAGAGATTATAGAAAGTTTACTTCTTAGACTTATAACGGCTGACTTTTAAATACGAAGGAAGGTCTCGGTCTGTCTACTTTAGCGCTCAAAAAGTAATAAAGTACATAATTTGAATTTATTTACCCTGGTTTTACTAGCTTATAAGATGTAGCCGGTGTTGCAACAAGATTTATATAGATCTGTGGTAGCTATACAGGATATTTGACTTTACGATGGAGTCACTTCTACCACTGTATTCATGTGTTGAGGGTGAGGCTTGAATTCCACCACTTCTTTCCACACCAGCTCTGAAAATACAAACGTACTTTGTGAATATTATTACATAACATCACGCATTTTATCTCCGAAGAGGTAGGCAGAGGTGCACATTATGCCACTGTACAATGTAACACCCACTTTTCACTATTTATGTTATGAGTCCCATGTAATAGGGGGTGAGCCTATTGCCATATACCGGGCACATATCCAGTCTCCGTGCTACTACTGAGATTTTTTTTAAAACTCAGTGATACCTTGCCCGACCCGGGAATCGAACCCGAGACCCCTTGCCCGGCAGTCGCGCTTGCGACCACTCGGCCAACGAGGCAGTCAATTTGTTAATATTATTAATTTCAGAAATAGTTATTTTTATTCTATGAAAGCAGTGTTAACCACAACTGGGATGGGATTCATTGGGTAAGTAGGTAGGTACCCATTGTTTTAGCAAATACAACTAAAATATAAAGCACAATTAAAATAATGTACAACTTAATATTTTTCCTTTACTTTATCGAGTTGATTTGTTTACAAACTAAATAGATGATTAAGACTAGGTATAAAATCATTTTGCCTTTAATGAACTTGATAAGTTGTTTTATAATTGTTATCGCTACAAAATAATAATAATTATTATAAGCATAAACAAACGAAGTCGCATTGGTTTTATATATTCCTTTTTTATAATAACTATCGAGAGACATACTAAATCAATTAAAAATCGCGGGTTACTCACGTGAATATAATGAGAAAAGCTCTATGTATACGACTTACTAAACTAAACTAATAGAGCATTTGTCTTTCCGACGCGATAAACTAAATTTAGGGGTTTCATCAGGATGTTTTTTATTAAAAAAAACAATAAAAAACTGACCCTGGCACATAAAGGCTGACACGTTATTGTCATAGTTTATCGACAAAAATTAAAAAAAAAATCGTTCAAGCCCGCCATTAATTACAGTGAAAAACAAGTAAACCGTTTAAATTCCACTGAATGTGAATAGCAATCATCGAGAGTTATTTTATCGTATCGTTAGTCTTAAAACATTATCGCAGCAAATCCATCAGATAAGCTACGCCCCCGTCGGGAAACAGAACATTCCTCTTTATTATATTAGTATAACGCTTGTGATAACGCTATCAACAACAACGAGTGCTATTGGGAATCACGGTACAAGCGTTCGCAAACCACTTATCCACTCCACCACTTATCAACACCCTGAAATCGTTATTTAACACCCTTGAATGAATGACTAACACACCCATAGTTCCCCGAAAAAAATGTGTAAATTATCTATGTGGGGTAGATAGGTATTAAAACAGGTCATGTTCTACTGAACCCACATAGTACAGTTCAGTTTATATTCTAACAAGCTTTCACATTTATTGATTTTTGCCAGTAAATGTATGGTCGAAACTAGAATACAACTTTCCTTATGAACATTTAAAACTTCTTACACACATTTAAAATCCTTAAAAATCTGACGGCCTATTGATGACATAATAGTACAAAAATCTGTCCAGTAATTTTTAAGTTTACCGCGTACATATAGACAGACGTGTAAGGGAGCTTCTTTTTACATTTATCTGTTTCACGTGTGCTTTCCGTCTTAGATACCCAATGTCAATAGGTTATTTAACGCTAACTTTATTTTTATTAGAGAAAATAACTTCTTTCATTATGCGCGCCCAGGATCCCAAATGTCTTATGTGGGCTATATAAACGCGTGTATCGCTCGAATACTTATTCATATCTATGACTGATTGAACAAACAATAAGTATTTAAACCTAGCTTTAATCAAGTAGGAATTAACATACCAAATATATTTCTTCGTACAAATATTATTAAGACGTTACCTTTCCATTTGTCAACGGGGAGCTCCATATCCTCAAAGCTCTGATCGTAGGGCGCCGACACGGGCTCGTCGTCTGGGTCAGCATACTGCGCTAAGTACTCGTGTGCGAGCGCCTGTTCTGCTGTTATACGCCTGAAACACGTACATTATTTCTTGTATATTAAATACTAGCGACCCACCCCAGCTTCGCACGGGTGCAATATGCATGTATTATACAAATAAACCTTCCTTAAGAATCAGTCTATCTATACAAAAAAAAACCGCATCAAAATCCGTTGTGTAGTTTTAAAGATCTAAGCATACATAGGAACAGACAGAAGGCGAATAGGGACTTCGTTTTATACTATGTAGTGAAGTCTGCGTTTGGTCAAACAATCGTCTGATGGTAAGTCATAATATGGTCATTGATGGAGAAAACGGACGTTTTCACTCAAGGTTTGAAGACATTCAGGTTGTATCTCTTCTGGAAACAGATTCTGGCAAGGAGCTCCACTCCGAAGCGGTCGTTAAATATTACGTCATACATAACAGTAAAAAATATATGATAACCTTTTATAATGATCTCATTGCTCAGTACTTACAACACAAAAACTGAAGTTGTCAGTGACTTTACAAAGTATCCAAGTTCAAAGTGTTATTGCAACAAGCCATTTTATGTAAATTAGCAGTCACGATTATGACTACTCGACCAACAAACGAGGAACGTCTCGCTCGGATTCAATTCCCGAGCCAGACAATGTTTGATTTTTAGAAAACATTCAGCGGGTAAATATTACCATATTTACGCACCTCTGTAGGCATTATTCATTTATAAGGTAAGAGGTATTGTATCAGACATGTTATAAATCGTATTCATATTATGGCAAACAGTGCATAAACAGGTTCTTCTTAAGATTCATGACAAACCTTTCGTCATTCTGATTAGATTTTATGAAATCTATGAAATCCCCAAATATAATTTTGTTTTGTAGGAAAACCAGCAAATAATTAAGTACCTCGTCATTTCTTTTTATAATGAATGAGTCATATTATAACAAATAAATAGTGAAGTTTTGGTAATAGGGGAAATTAGAATAACTGCAGTTCACGTCTTGTTGATGTAAATGGTAACAGAAGCACTTGACATAATGTCAGGCCGAAGGCAGAGATTCAGATGTATCAGATGTACAGTGTACACAATGTAACACTTTTAACAGATCCAAACTCCGTGCTACCACAGACCAATTAAGCGAACGAATAAAATAAAAATAAAAACTATAATACCGTCGTATCGTAAGGTGACAATAGTACAAAAAATAAAATATACAATATCTTACTTGTCGGCGTCTAACTCCAGCATGAGTTCCAGCAAGTTGACGGCGAGAGGGTTCGCACCGCGGAACACCTCGCGGAAGTCACGTCTCTTGAGTGCAGGCAACGACTGAATGTAGTTCCTAGCCTGGAAAATGCATATAGTAGATTCTTTACAAAAAAAATTGTCGCCCAAAAATAGTAAATAATGTACGCCGCGCACTCAGCGCGGGACTTGTTAATTGATAAACCGGTTTAATCGGTTTTCCTATATTACTGTTTCTGCAGAGGCATTTACTGCCGAAAACTTCCAAAAAGCTCTTCAGCTGCGTTAGTTAGGTCCCATTCATATCAGCGCGTTTCATTAATCATTCTCATTCAGGCAAGATTGTTATGAGATTAATAATACTTATCTTACCTACTACAATAATAAAATTGATGGTACCTAGCAAAGAATTTTGCGCCTGTGATGTATCATTGTTCAAATTCCAATAAATATGTAAATGTTCGTTAGCGAACCAATTAAAAACTATTGTGCTAAATTCATTATTTTCAATGATGAGTGTGATGACTCATTCCACACAAATAACATGTAGGTACTTAAGTAATTGCCACAGACACAAGTTAACGAACATATAAAATTGGCACGTCACGAACAATAAATAAAACGAGCACCATATTTATTTTATGAATTAACGACGATGACAACAATTACATTCATTTATATAGGTATGTACATTTAATTATTCTAAAGACTACACATTATTTTGTTAATTTCTTTACTGAAAACTGGCATTAATACGGCGATTATTATTATTGGTTTAATTCTATAATATTACTAACCAGCATTATTGCTTTATATAGGCAATTCCTATAGGTTTAATATATTAAATTATTAGTTTCCTTACCTCTTCGCTAATTATTTTGTCAATTGTCTCTTGATCAGGCCGTCCACACAGAAACAATATTCTTGTGAGGTGATCAATATCTGAGTACACGCATGTTAAGGTTACACAAGCACCAAACTTACACAAGCTATTTATTGACACGACACAATAACATCAATATAAGCGAGTTAATGGCCAAGCTACAACATTTGACAATACTGATAGTACATGGTAATATTTACACCTAACATTGCACCACATCACCTGTGATAAACAACGAATGAAAGCTACAATACTTACTGACTCTGAAGATATCTTTGACATAAACTCCTGAGCGGGTGTTCCAAGTACCTCCATGATCAAATTCAATTGATGGATATCTGTCTCATCCATTAAGGTTGAAAGCCATTGATGTTTAAAAAAAATAATAATTTAAAAGCTAAGCTGTAATTGAATATATTACTTACTCAAAATAACTAACAACAACTAAATAAGTTTTACAAAAACATCGAAAGTGTTGTAATGATAGTATGTAAGATAAGGATATAAATAAACACAGTAAATGTGCTATTAACAGATGAATAATGCTTTTGTATGGTTATGTAATAAGTACACTTACTTTCCCTGTTAGCAAATGGATTTTGTGACAAATCCTACTCATATTATGTACACACATTAAATCAACTTTAGTGATGAACATAAAATGTCTCCAGAGATTAAAAAATCCCAAACACTGGGTACATAGACATAGTTCAAGAGAACTCCCATTATAATTAAAATTTTTAAGTAAAGAATATTTTAGCTTAACATACATTGCATGCATAAATAATGTCTGTCTACACATTCAATAAAGTTTGTACTAAGAAACTGTTCAATTAAAAGGATACGGTCTGAACCTGGGAACAAAGTTCTGCCAGTCAATAATTCAGCCATAATGCAGCCTACAGACCAAATATCAACAGTCTGGTTGTAATGCATCCAGTTCAGCATAATCTCAGGAGCTCGGTACCACCTGAAAATTTGCTTATTCATTTATCTGTGAAAGGCTACCAATATGACCTAAATGTGTAAAAGTATCTCCCACCAAAAATTCAAATTTAAAGATTTCAAAATGTCTGTAATATATTCAATATTAATAATAGGCTATCAGTAGTGACAGTCATGGTAATCAATACTAAGTGAAATTTAATAGTTCTAATCAAAAACTAAATAATAGTGTGACCTTTGAAATTTATTAGAATGGCATTGTTAATCATATAAAGTTTCTACATACCTTGTTGCTACATAGCCAGTCATCTCTGTTTCAGTTGGTCTGGCTAGACCAAAATCTAAGATTTTCAATTCACAGTCCTCATTGACAGCAATGTTAGAAGGTTTTAGATCCTACAATTAATAATTGTGTTAATGTTATAAAAATACTAAATACACAAACTGATGGCTAGTGTAGTTAAAACATGCAATTGAAATAAATTTGATTCAATACAATTAGGAAATTAGCTGTCAATTTTCCTCAGGGTATAAATCTATCAATGAGCAAAACAATGAATGACTCAATGATTGTTGGTTCAATTAAATGATTTAAAATAATGGAAAGCCCTGTCTTGCACCTGCAGCCAAAAGGAAAACAGGAAAACATCTTAAGTCAAAGCAGACAGTACTATTTATTGGTCTGACTCATACATTCCGTACTTTGTAGCTAGTGCCAAGTCTAGCAGCTGGGGCATGTACTGTATATAGACAACAAATAAACTAAAGGAAACATACCCTGTGAATGATTCCTGCTGAGTGAATATATTTAAGACCACGGAGAATTTGATAGACCAGAAATTGGACATGGTCATCAGACAGTTTTTGAGTACGAACAATATTATTTAAATCAGCCCCCATCAAATGTGTCACTAAGTACACTTGCTGAAACTCTTCCAAGGTCTTTTCGGGGCTGAATACATCCAGCAGACCTGTATGGATATAATAAACACATTAGCTTTTTTATTTTCTTCTGCTGAATGAGAATGATCAACTTATTAAGTGGTTTCTTTTACTATATTAGTTAACTTGTCGAGTACCGGTTTTATAGACACAATTAAAGAACAATAGGTCGCGGTCACCGGTGACCGCTTGGTGTTTGACAGTTTAATGCTAATTTTCTAAACCTGTTTATGTTTAAAGTCTATAATCCTAAATAGTTGGAAAACAAGTGTGATAGTTGAAATATCAAAAAATTTGGTTCTAGATACAGACTTACAATGTTACTAAGAATATAATTTATCAAAATATCATTTCGTATTTATTTACCGATAACATTCTCATGGTTCATATGCTTCAACATCCTCAGTTCGCGATAAGTGCGTTTGGCATGCACGGCAGACTGAAACGGTCTCGCCAATTTCTTAATTGCAACTTTCATATTATGCAGAGTATCGATCGCGGAACTGTAAACAAATTATTCACTTCAAGAACAGACAAACACCTTAATCTGCACGCCCACGTAGGGGCAATGTACCTAATATTACATATTCTGTTGCTAAGGATATACCAAGTACTATTAAAATAAACAAGATTATTACTTAAAGTACAACAATTACAAATAAATACTGGCATATTGCCGAATATATTCATAAATACATACCAAACTTGTCCGTAAGCACCTGAGCCTACAGGTGTAAGCATTTGATATCTTTCTGGGACAATCCATTCTGTTTTATTTATTTCTACCTTATGGTAACGAGGCATATTGGATTCTGGAATAGGAGAGTTTAATCACTTCTGAATAACAAGATTATTGAAATTATCACGACTTATCACCAACAACCAACTCAAGAAGATTTTTATTCTTTTTTTTTATTACAGTAGGTACAGATTCCGAAATGAATGGTGTTGCCACTTGCCGTATTGAATGTATAATGTTGCAATTGCAAGTCTTTTAGATTTATGGATTTTACCAAGGTTTTACTATATTTAAGTAATGCGTGTGTGTGGTACAAATGTGAGATAAGATTGGGCGTGTAGCTTTGGATTTCATTTATACATTACAAACTACAATAATTTGCTAATCACAATATTTTAAATACTTTTTTTTAATTCTTAGAAATATTAAATAATTCTCCTACAGGCAATTATTATTGTACCTGTCATTAAAGTCATTTGTCAGTTAAATGTCAAACTGATTGCGACTTGCTTTTATCCTGAAACTTTTACAAAACGAAAGCAATAATCGGTGGTAATATCAAGAATATTTAGCAACCATGGCTCAAACGGCGGGCGTGAAGCCTATGGCCATTGCAGGGCGTGTGGCACTAGAACGTGAAAGATGCCTTGGTATGACCGATGTTGAGAGATCTTGGCGCAAGCAGTGGTTGAAAGATCAAGTCTTGGCTCCTAATGAACCTGTACATGTCGAAGAATATTGGAGAGAACGCACCAATATATTCCGCCGTATCTACCGCATGCCTTTAGACAAATTGTACTCGGTGCTCACGCCAGTGTTGGTGAGATTACATAACACCAGTAACCTATCTGTTGTAAACATTGAAGTGGTGGAAATTACAGTAACTATAACCTTCATTACAGGGTGCATCACGCGCTGCTGACTATAGATACATAACTGGGAAATTGGGATTAATCGGCTTCGGGATTCTTTGTGGTCATTATTACTTCAAATACAATGGAAATGTAAGTTTTGTACTTAGCTGACTTAAAACTTTCATTAGTCTAATAACTGCAGAGACTTATTTAGCAAAAACTGAAGAGGCTATTGATATTTAGTTTGTTTACAAATTAAATATCAATAGCCTCTTCAATGAATACATTAATTATGTGTCTTTTCCATGCATGGGACCGTGTCTCGGTTATTTGAGAGGCGTATGAGGGGCCAAAGCCAAGTGCGCAGAGGCTGTATAGACAACTTTAATATAAATATTATGGGGACACAAGTTATTATTATGTTAAATTTCAGGACTGGACTAAGAAAGGAGGCTGGAGAGTGCATAAGTCGAAGCCAATTGTTTTGCCAGGGCAGCCAGGATTCCCCTTCAAATCTGGCTTCAAACCTGATGATTATGCTGCCCAGGGATTCAAGAGCTCCCCAATATAAATACTAACATAAATATATTAATTTATAATGCAAGGTTTTTCATCTGTTATTGCATGATAATATTGTTTATTAGTTTTATCAATAATAGTAATTAAAAGAGTATAAAACTAATAATAAAATTTTTATTCTTAAATAATAAATATACTATGCAAAGTGTATGCCTTCAGAATTGAAAGCATGTAACACCTTCATGAAGTCATCTATGTCCATCATTCTGGCTCTCATTTGATCTGTTTCAGATTTGGTTAATATTTCTTGAACCTTTTCCTTTATGTCAAAATTTTCAGGTATATCCTGAAACAGAGTATGGTTGGTTAGGGGTTGTGATAAAAAACTAATTTATTTGTGATTATGGCAACTCTAGTCAAGCTTACCTTATTATGTAGAGAGCAATGCACCCTATAATTTTTCTCTAATACTGCCATAGTTGTGCCATGTTTGAAAACAGCTGCTAATGTTTTATTTTTCCTTACAAATGCTATCCTAGTTAAGCCATCCCATTCAATAAAATTTATAGGTGGAGGTGGATTTCTTGGCTCTATTCTCACAACACTTGACTCTACTTTCGGTGGTGGTCTGAAGTTGTTTTTGCCAACCTATAAAAATGTTTGTATACAATCATCAAAATGTAAAAATATTATCTTTATAATAAAATTAATTCATAAGCACTGTATAGTATTGTTACCTTCATCAACATGTCAACTCGTGCCAACAATTGTGTGTTTATTGAGAGCCTGCAATATAACTTATCACCAGGTTTTGCAACGAGTCTCTGTGCAAATTCTTGTTGAAACATGAGAACAGCACACCTAAAGAATGGTCTATGCTGTAATAATTTGAAGACTAATGGTGAACTGATTTGATATGGCACATTAGCCACGCAGATATTAAAGAATGGCAATTCTGTTTTAAGAACATCTCCCACAATAATTTGAAGTTTGGCTTGATAAGGAGTTCCTTGAACTCTTTTTTGAAGTTCAGCAACCAATCTGAAAAAAGTTAACAATTTGGCAAAACAAGTTCGGTACAGAAACACCAAGTTATCAATGGTAAGTGATTTACCTCGTATCAATTTCACAAGCAACAACTTTTTTAACTCTGTCGAGTAACTTTACAGTCATGTTACCAGTACCAGGACCAATCTCAAGAGCAACATCAGTGGGTGTTAAACCAGCCTTATCCAACATTGAAGTTATAATTAACGGATTTTTCAATATATGCTGACCAAAATCCTTATTGAATTGGATGCCTGGAACAATAAATTAGTTATCTACCTGCTTGTCATATAAAGAAATAAAAATTACTAACAGTATTTTGCAATAAAAACAATAGTTCACAGTGGTAAATATAACCTAATGAACTTATCACCTTGCTTAGCAATTTCATTATGAACACGGCTCTTCTTTTCTGCTTTAACTTTAGGCATTTTGTTTAACTTTTTTGCTAGTTATTTGATTAATTTTAAAAGCAAAATTCAATTCAAAAATAAAAACACGCGCTACTCCAGAACTTCATTGCAAATTGATGCAGTGTTGCCAGTGCCAGTGCCGCTTTTTTTTTTTTTTTTTTTTATGGGGGAAAATCATCGAATGACTGCTCCCGCCTGGGTGAGGCGGAAGGGAGTGTCAGACTCTTACTGACTAAAAACCACCCCGTTCCTTCTCCTGCACGTCGAGCCGGAGCCCCGGTTACCCGTTAGGTTCTCCGCGACTCCGAATCGGCATCGGCCCTATTGGGCCCCATCTGTGGTGGTCTGATGGCTCTTTGAGGCGCGCGCGGAACGCGACGCGCCGTACGCTCGGGTCTGTTTCTGGTCGGACGGGGAGCCACCCATGCTCGCCGTCCGCAGGCCCGCGCTTACGGTGGCCGGAGATCGTCCCGCGATCCCCGACGCCCGGTGTGTCCTTCGCGATGGCTGGGTTGCGAGGAGGCAGCGCTTCGCTGCCTCACGCGTCCACTTTAATTAAAGTTGCGGCCATTGTACTTTTTTTATTTGGATGCTTAGTCTTTGTCTTTTAATTTTTCGAAACAAATAAAACAACAATAGTAGTTTTATTTATATCAAAATCAAAATAGGATTTCTATAGAAAACTGCAAAAGTCAGTAGTGTAAGTGCATGATGGCATGTTACCTGTACTATTGACGAAACAACTTAAGAATGAAAAGTGTTCACAAATGTTGTAATTGCATCCGATAGTAGATTGTCGAGGAAGTTTTATTTTTATGGACGTCAAATTACTAAATAACGTTATTTACTCAAATAAATAATTCATAGTCCGGCGAAGAAAGTATTCTCGGTCCATTCAATAAAGGAACAAGCAAGCAACTTTTCATTTTAATAATTTCATCAGGCAACTCCACAAATTTTGGCATGGTTGATCTTTACGGGACCGAGTGAAATAAAACCGTTTCGTAGAATTATTATGAAAATGGAGTGGAAACCAGAACAAGAAGGACTAAGACAAATACTAACACTTCTTAAAGAGTCTCAATCACCAGATACAGCAACGCAGAGGGCTGTACAACAAGTATCCTTTTCATAATTTTCACATCTTTACAGCTATCGGCGTGGATATTTTTTGCAACTTTAACCGCTTTATTTTTTATTTATGTACTAATCGTTATCAATGTTTTCATATTTCAATGCAATTCATCATAAAAGTAGGTGTTAATGCTTTTTTATCAACTATTCTTTTCATCTAGACGCTTGCGATAAAATCGATTTTTCCGACATGACAGCCATTGACAACCTTTATTTTCCTAACAATGTAATATCAGAAATTGGAAGAATTGAACAAGTATCCAGACTTCAACAACTATTTGATTTTTGTCTTGACTAAACTTGTAAGTGAAGAAGAACCTACAAGATCTTTAAGTGGTTTGATTTTGAAAAATAATGTCAAAGCACATTACAACAGCTTTCTGCCTGAAGTTGCGGAATTCATAAAACGAGAATGCTTATCAGCAGTCGGGGATCCCTCTCCCTTGATTCGCGCTACTGTGGGTATCATTATCACCACTATAGCTAGCAAGGGAGAGCTAACATCATGGCCTGAACTGTTGCCAGCCTTGTGTCAAATGCTTGATTCACAAGACTACAATGTTTGTGAGGTATGTATTGAGTCCTACAAGATTTGTTAAAAACTTCAACTTTTTTAATAAAATACATATAATGAAAGTAGGGCATGATCGATTGGTCTTTATTTATTGCTGGAAAATTGATAACTTTGAAATGACCTCATTGTAAGAAGACATTTCTTAAAAACATAAATCTTCTTTAATTTTTTAAGTTGAATAAAAATGGAATAAATTAGCAAAATTAAAAAAAAAGAACATAGTTAACAAATTTCAACAATCAAATGAAAGGTATTTAAATTCTTTTATTTCCCGTGATATTGTGTAAGACTGTTTCATTATTTTAGGGTGCGTTCGGGGCTCTACAGAAGATATGTGAAGACACAGCTGAAGTTCTGGACAGTGATGCACTGAACAGGCCACTGAATGTGTTGATTCCAAAATTCCTACAGTTTTTCCGGCACTCATCGCCTAAAATCAGGTGTCATGCTATTGCTTGTGTCAACTATTTCATCACAAACCGAACACAAGCTCTCATGTTGCACATTGATGCTTTTATTGAGGTAAGACAACTTGTTAAAGTTTTAAAATTTATACCTTTAAATATATTTTTTCATAACCTGTGTTCATTAATCAATATCAATTTAATTCCAGAACTTGTTCCACTTGGCAGCTGATGAAGATTCTGATGTCAGGAAAAATGTTTGTCATGCTTTGGTCTTGCTCCTGGAGGTGCGATTGGACAGGCTCATCCCTCACTTACCTAACATTATTGAGGTAAATAATGTCAAATTTTACATGTTTAGAATGTAGAATAATAAAAATTCACGCATTTATTTAATATTTTATATTACAGTACATGCTGGTGAGAACCCAAGATCCCGAGGAGGGTGTTGCTTTAGAAGCCTGCGAGTTCTGGCTCACACTTGCAGAACAAAATGTTTGCCGTGAGGTAACATAGTTTTAATATGAAGTTTATTTCAGTTATGCACACATTATTAGTGCCAGTTCCATGTGTTTGAGTAATGCAGAGATTAGAGTAGTGAGTAAGTGACATTTTTTTTCAATATTTACAGGTCTTGGGCCCCAGACTACCAGCTCTGCTTCCTATCTTGGTGCATGGTATGCGGTATTCGGAAATGGACGTGATCTTACTCCGAGGTGATCGGGACGATGATGCAGATGATGCAGAGCCTGATCGGGAATCTGACATACGACCACGATTCCATAAACCTCGATCACACACAGTCAAACATAATGGTAAGATTATTACAATTATTATGGTAAGACTCTTGTCTTTTTGTGACTTTGTCATGGATTGTATTCTCTATATTTTCATACAGCTGGAGCTGGGGACAGTAATATGTCCGGAGGTGGCGAGTCAGATGACGAAGACGACGGCGGAGCGGATGCAGATGACGGCTCGTTGTCAGACTGGAACTTACGTAAATGCAGTGCGGCCGCGCTCGACGTGCTCGCCAACGTGTTCGGGGCAGACTTATTACCAGTACTCTTCCCTATACTTAAAGAGACGCTTTTCCATGAAGATTGGGTCATAAAGGTAAGTTATGAAACAGATGTCATGTACTACTTTGAATAACGGTGATCAACTATATTATAATCGCAATTTTTGTGTAATCAGGAAAGCGGTATTTTAGCCCTGGGTGCTGTGGCTGATGGCTGCATGGGCGGTATGGTACCCCACCTTCCTGATTTGGTTCCATATCTGGTATGCTGTCTGGCAGAGCGCAAGGCACTGGTGCGCGCCATCACTTGCTGGACGCTTTCTCGTTACTCACACTGGATCGTATCTCAGTCGCATGACCTGTACTTGAAGCCTGTGATGACTGAGTTACTAAAGCGCGTGTTAGACAACAACAAGCGAGTACAAGAGGCGGCGTGTTCAGCTTTCGCTACCCTCGAGGAAGAAGCGTGCACAGAGCTTGTCCCTTACTTGGGCTTTATTTTACAAACACTTGTGTATGCTTTTAGTAAATATCAACACAAGAATTTACTCATATTGTATGACGCTATTGGTACACTAGCTGACTCAGTTGGCCATCACCTAAATAAACCAGAATATATTAATATGTTGATGCCACCACTCATCAATAAGTGGAACTTTTTGAAGGATGAAGATAAGGATCTCTTCCCACTTCTTGAGGTATGATTAAAACTATTACAGTACTGTATATTAAGTTGCTTGAGTTGATATTAATATAAGTTTTGATTACAGTGCCTATCATCTGTGGCTACAGCTCTTCAGTCAGGATTCCTGCCTTACTGTGAACCAGTGTTCAGAAGATGTGTTTCATTAATAGAACAAACACTAAATCAAAATATTGTAAGTAACTTCTAATTTTTTTAACATTATTGAAAATCACTTAAATTATTAAAAGTTCTTACATGAGTATTCTCTACTAACATTTCCAGTCACAGGAACTTGTGTGGGTGTAATAATATTTTTAATGCATAGATAATGAATTATAATGTGTAACCAGTTAGATTTATCACATTTACATTGTTATAAAAACAAATAAAAAAATAAATAAAGTAAAAAGCAATAAAACAATTGTTAGTTATTAGTACTGATAGGTTAGGTATAGGTTAAGTTCTAGTCAAAATTATTCATTATTCCTAGATGTAATGTTCGTTTCCATCATCAAATTCTGATCTGGTGAAAATGGGATCATCTCGAGAGTACAATGTTTCGAGCAGAAAATCGGTTCACAATAGGTGGAGATTAAATTAAAAAACATCCGAACAACCGATGAATACAATGTTCATCTCCTCCTCTTCTTGAAGTCTGTATTAAAATATCTAACATAAGTTGTTGAAAGGTTCTTTCTTTACCATTCAGTAATCTTGTACAGCCATACTTTATCATCAAATCTCTTTGGTAATTCATAAATACAAAATAATGATGACTCAACTCAACTCAAGTGAACCGTAATGTTCACTTAGTCATCAATATTTAATGATAACAAGCAAACATACTTGGTTGTGAAGTTATTCGCAACATTTGTTAGTCAACTTATCAAGGACCAATAATTTGCAAATTAATCCAAAAGATTCTTTACTGTTCGATACTCTAAGTACATCCTAATATTCCTTAATTCATTGCAAAAGTTACTTTTTAAATTGTGTTAAACATACAAAATTTATAATACAAGTTATCAACGCAAATATATTTCCAGGCAAACACACAAAGTCCAGAACAGTTTGAAGCACCTGATAAGGACTTTATGATTGTGGCGCTGGATCTGTTGAGTGGCTTGGCAGAGGGGCTGGATGGCCACATAGACCACCTGGTGTTCAACTCCAACCTGATGCAGTTGCTCTACCAATGTATGCAGGATCCGATGCCTGAGGTATATCTTGTATGTGACTCTCGCTTATCTACTCACTGGGACAAGGGTGCATAGGGTATTTGTTCTATATCAAGGTATTATGGAGTTTTAATGTATTTCATTATTCATTTAAGCTTATTAATAATTCTAAAAATTATGTTTACTTGTTGCGTTGTCCAAATGTTCTTTTTATATTATTATTTGCATGTGTAGTTACTTGGTTTAAATTATACAAATTTATCTCTAACAAACTATTATTGCATTAACATATTGAATGAATTTAAAATTGACAACACCACATAAAAACATTATTTCAACATTATTAAGTTAAACTACCTTGAGCTAGATAAATTAGATAATTAAAAAATATGTATTCAGAGCTCTAGTACAAGCGGTATTTGCTCTTTAATTGTGATTAAAACTCAACTTGAAGTTGAAACTTGAAGCACATTTTTTAATACTATGAGATTCCAAGAAATCCTTAATATTTAAGATCAGGCTTTGTGTTCATAATATACCTAGTATATGTATATTTTATACATGTAATAGACACTAATTTACTTACTGTTGGGTCTCGTGAGGTACAACTCTTTGGATCGCGCAACTGGTTCTCGCATTTTCTCATCTTGCAACTGAGATTGAACAATCACTTATGTCATCAACCAAAACCATTAATACTCATTGTATATCTTGTAACAAACAATTAACAGTAACTAACACTTATTGGGAGATGGGATTCTTTGCTTTAAATAGGAGCTAATATTTTAAGTTGTGTTCATCATATCAGGTGCGTCAGTCGTCGTTCGCGCTGCTGGGTGACTTGACAAAAGCATGTTTCCAACATGTACTACCATACATACCCGAGTTTCTACCAATACTCGGCATGAACCTCAATCCAGAACTCATTTCTGTATGCAATAATGCCACCTGGGCAATTGGCGAAATAAGTATCAAATTAGGTAAGTGTACAACAATATTATGTTTAATTACAAATGAAGATTTATTTATATTCACCTGTCATAATATAATTATTTCAGGGCCTGAAACATCAAAGTATATCCCTCTAGTTTTGAACCATTTAGTTGAAATTATCAACAGGCCTAACACACCCAAGACCCTACTTGAAAATACAGGTAAGTGATTGTGTTGATTAACTTAATTAGAACATTTATTTTATTGAAAAATAAGAATAACTAATGTTTTATTTGCTAGAAGTATAATTATCCAATAAGTGACTTCTTGGTGTCAGTCATGTTTATGTATACTGTTTATGTATATGTTACTATTCAATGTTTTAAATTGAGTTGTTGTGATGTTCATGTTTATCTGTATACCCCATTTGTGTTCGCTGTAGTACTCCCTGCCTATATCTGTACCTGGCAGATCATATAATATGTATCACAATACTTATATGTGATGATACTAACTCAGTACTAAACAACACATGATTTATTTTATTATTGTGTACCACTTCTTCTACAAAACATTATATTTATGAACATGTATTCTATCATACAATTAATATATTCCACATAATAACACAAACAGTAGATTTTTCAAAGCTTATTTATCCTCATCAATATTTTTTTGTTTTTGGGGTAAATTGTAAATATACCTAATGAGAATTGAGTAGAACCGAAAGGTGAAGTGTGTGCCTGATGTGAAAGATGGCGTAGATCTCGCAGTGTAATCATCAGCTTGCATGAGTTCATCATGTTCTTGTTTCTTCAATGTACCACTTTTACCTAATGTTTGATTGAACAAATTCTGGGCCATCTTTTCTCAAACATGCGATACTTATATAATTTAATGAATTATTTAGCAGATACGAGTGTTTCACGTTTTTCCATTTGTAACACTAATTTGTTGCTGTTGAATTATGTAATTTAATATGTTTTGAATGGTTTGTTGATTTGTTTTCTTGGTTTTGTTCTCGGTATGTCGTGGCGTGTAGCGATTACTATCGGTCGGCTAGGTTATGTGTGCCCCCACGACGTCGCACCCGTTTTACATCAATTTGTACGCCAGTGGTCTGTAGTCATTTTTTTTATTATTACTTTATATTATATTACTATTACGTTTAATATTAAATAAGTTATTAACCGGTATTATTTCGATTGTGGATGGTGTTTGTCCATGGCTTGTTAATATTGTTTTGATATGTTGTTCCTGAGTTTAGTTGAACCAAGCATGAGAATATTAATTCTATGTGTTTATGTAAGGCCACACTTGAGGGACATAGATTTTTGGGTGTAATTTTACCTGTTTGATCATTTTATTTTCAGTGCTGTACTTTATATGTGTTGAACACCATCCGCTTTCTAAACAATATAAACTATTATTTACACCAAACTGCAAGACAAATTGTTTGACTAACTTTCAAATGCAAACATGCTCATCTTATTGAATAATTTTACATATTTATTACTACTATGTCTGGTTGATTTTATTTAATATTATATATTTTATTTATAATTTGCTTACAGTTTGGAATGATCTGAGTTCCAATACCCATACAAATATTTTCGTGTGCCAGTTTCAATATTTGCTATTCACATTAATAATCCTTCCTTTGTTTTCCTCCAGTTTTCCTTGAATAGTATACAGTTTATTTACGCTTGATTAATTTTCATCAATTTCTTTAGAATTTTTTATTACATATTAGTTTAGATGATTTTTCAATGCTACTCAATTATTTATATAAAATGTTCACGTAATAAACTTATTCAATTTCATGTTCATTGAAAAATCATCTAAGGAGTGATCACGATAACTCGGACAAGTGAACTTTCTCTTACAACACTGCATTTTGTGTCAGGTGCACCTCGTTGCGAAATATTCGCGATAACGACGAGAAGGACTCTGCGTTCCGTGGCATCTGTCAGATGATCCAAGTGAACCCAGCCGGGGTCGTGCAAGACTTCATGTTCTTCTGCGACGCTGTCGCCTCGTGGTCGCACCCCAAGGACGACTTAAAGGAAATGTTCACCAAGATCCTGCACGGGTTCAAAAACCAAGTTGGTGAGGAGAATTGGCGCCATTTCACCGACCAGTTTCCCGTGCAGCTCAGCGTGCGCCTGTCTGCCATGTGCGGGATATAGACGTCATCACTGCGTTATGGTGAGTAGAACCTCGCGGGCGACTGACTCGCTGTTGGTGTTACATGTAGTGAGAGGTGGCGCTGACGCGGTTGTGTGTTGCAGGGGAACCAATGTCAGCACGGGTCGGGAAGACATTGAGGGTGTCGCAGCAGGCGCGGCACCCGCGCGTAGGGAACACTCGCTCGGGCCGGCCGCCGCCTGTCCGCCGCGTTATGTGCCAACACACTGACCTCACTACACTAGCGAGGATATTTACACATTTGTACCTATCGACAGAATATAATCTAGATTGTAAATTGTTACACTTCATTCTTCTGTTCGTACCTGAAATTATTTTTCGTTTGACGAGACGTACATTTAGAAGCGGCGTAATCACTTAATGAGTGTATTGTGCACTGACTATAAAGTAATCGTAGCTTGGATGGGTCGCGCAGGTTCTGAACCGCTCCGCTCGGCTTGCTCGACAGACGCACAACGCACAGGCCGGGGCTGCGTACACACGTATACGGTGCTAGGCTTTCTATTCGTATCTTGTTACATTCACGTTGCACGGTGCATGCTTACGTGCCTCTTTGTATAACCATCGTAACGAGTGTACATTCATTGGCCCTTTCTAGTTGTAGTTTTACTCACTAAATTTTGTAACACGGTGATTATTACCGAGTTAGATGTGGTATATCTACTGTAATTGCATGAAATTTAGTAATAGTTTCTAGTTTGTAAAAAAAGATGAGACGTGTTTGTTGAAAAATATGATTTATTCTTATTTTGGTTCTTGCAAATTTGCACTATAGTTTCAAATTTTTTAAAACGACACATCGAATCATCAGAGTCTCATCATAGGAATTACCTTAACAAGCAGTAGTAAGGTAAACATAATATTGATATCGATAAGAAATGATATCAAATTGATAATAGTAACAATAAAACGCTAATAATAATAATATCGCGAGCTACTTGCGTAGTAGACATAGCAAGTACTCGTATCGCCAGTCACATCGTTCGTCTTTTGCTCGTGATTATTATTTAGCTTAGGTTGACTGATGCCATTCACTGCTCAACACATACAGCACGTGTTTAATTTATAATTCACTAACATAAATGCTATTAGTTTTAGTTGATTTCAAATAAACAGAGTCATTCGGTAATTGATTTTGTCCAAAAGCATTTATCTACACCCACTAGCTAGAGCATCGCAAATATATTTTATTATCTACCATTTAAAATTGACGCGTTAACTTTTATTATTTTATGTAAATTACAAAGACTTAGTAAAATCGAGAATTTATGTGAACTGTGATTTGTGACTGGATTTTTGTTTTTGACTAATATATGTGTATGATGATTTTATGTCTGTGTCAGTGTAGATATAATATACTGCTTTGATAGATTTTATGAAGGCTAGATTTCTGCTATATAATATACCAAATAGTATTTTTACGTTGTATATTGTTTAATGGAATTGTATGTGTGAGTTGGCCGGTGGACGGACGCTTGCAGCGCGACGTGTGGTGCGGTCCGTGCAAGTCTCACAAAGCTATATTTACACATTTTGTACTCGTGTGCGTCGTGCCCGCGACTGTCCGCTGCGCTGGTCAACTTTATCATTGATATAAACTACTATTTACGTGTATATTTAATTAAACTAATATTATGTATATGTAAATACATATTGCGATGTATATTATTATTATATTCAAGTAAAATTGTTATTTTTTGTTTTATAAAAAGCTAAAAGTCTGACTTTAAACACTTGTTATAATATCATTTAATTTTTTTTTTCAGATACGGGGTCTGAAATTATGTAGTTCGAATGAACATTAGTATATTTAACAAATTGCAATCGTAGTATAGGGAGCGTCGATATAATATGGTATTTCGGGGATAAAAAGAAATTTTAACATTCCGTAATCTAAATTCTGTCTTTTGGCTCAGTATAAAACTTCAGTGTCGAGTGTTGCTATACTTTTATGTTTCGCGAATCGCTAAATTATAATATTTAGATATACATATTATATATACACGTCGTGATTGTATCGAGTAGGAGAGATCCCCGATCCCTGAGCCCCGCTGAGTTCCTATCCTGAGTCCTGTCTAGTCCCATCCCGTGTCATGTGCCAACGAAGCCCGGAGACTCGCAGGTAGGTGTCGCGTCCATACGGTAGCTGTTTCACGTCTCGGTACCCGTAGGAACATTAAATTACTGTAGCTACCTTTCGGATAAATTTGAGACACATTGTTTATTTTTTAAGTAGAATCCATTTTATATCGATTATATGTATGTTACGGGTGGCCTCGTAATTTATTTTTAAGGTTAGTAGATTTTATGGTCATGATTTTTTTAATGTAGATGTTTGTTTTTCCTAAAAAACCGTGATAATAGTTGGATAAGTGATCGCATGTGTGAATGTGTGAGTGAGGCGGCATTCGTAAGGCACTCCCTTCCTTGAGGCATAGTTAGTATTTTATTATAAATATTATAGTTGTATCGTTTGGACGAACATTAATTGTGATGCATTGTCGATATAAATGTAGGTTGTTTGTGTCGCGTTAAATTGTCATATTGTGTTGTGGATTATTGTCAAAACATGCGTACGTTGTATTTATTTATATGAATATTATAATCACATTGTCCACGTTAGTTAATCATTTGGATTGAGCTTAAATTATATTCAATTACAGAGTTGAGCTCAGCGCTGAAAATATTTTTATACTATAGCATTTACATAGAGGATCATTCCGTTCATGTTAAAATGAGGTTTATTATACAGTTATACGTGAACACTTGCAACGGTTGCGTGAGCCACACTTACAAAGCCAAGCGATGGTGTTTACTTCAGTGAACGTTACATTGACTACGCTTTCGTATTTGTTGACCATCAGGATTTTTGGATCGGGGCTTAAAATTGCACTATCATCACTGTATAATTTTATCAAAAGTTCTGACCACAGATTTTATACCGACACCCATAGACCTTGTAAGTAAAATTATGTATAATTTCAGAAATTATTTATATCTTGTGTCCCAGTAACATTATATTTCTAGTTTGTTACTCCTACATTTGAGAATAAAACAGTATGCGTTGTGTATGATTAAATAAAGTACTAATGTATTTTAATAATTAATTCACACATTCAATGGCTTTTAGTCAGCTTACTGTCTCTGTGGAAAAAAGAAGATCCCTAATAGTGTTTGATAACTAGTAACACGTTTGAATAAAATACCTTTCCTTTGAGGCATCATTCCTCATTGAGAAGAGATATCGGCGGTACGAATGACGGTCACTCAATTTACTGTAGTACTGTAATAGCCGTTATTTCGATCACAGAATCACTTCATATCGCAAATATTTTCCTACTGCGCCCGTGCCTGGTCCGACTCGGTTATTTAAAGTTCCAAAAACAGTAACAAAATGTAAACACAATGTAGGCAATGTGAGATTCTTATAAGTATTTATTCATCTACTAAATAGTCTTTCGCTAAATAAAACTAATATTATTAGTTCTGCAATTTTCGATTTAATTTTTTATCCATTATCCATTCTATATATTATTATAAAGTTAAAACGCATATAAGTCCATGTTCTATATTATGTAATTAATATTTTATTATATATATTATATTATTTTACTAGTTTTATTTACAAATCACTACCATTAGTTAGTTCTCTTACAAATTGCAATAGGAAATCTATGCGTGGAACTGTATCGTGTATAAAATAAATATATTTTAAATACTTAAATGTAAATTCTTGTCACCTGTAGGCAAATGTGTAAGTTGTTACATAAAATAACTGAAATTGCAAATTATATATTTGTATTGTAAAACCTGCATGATTTCAGCTAAGTCCGGTACAAATTTGCACACCATAATTTATAATTAATTTTGTTGTTTGTTTTACATAAAGTGAGTACAGATGTATGAAACTTATAATAGACATAACCTACCTCTATTTTAAGGCCTAACCCTAGGCAATTTGTTCAAAATTAACAATATAAAATTATAATTTTGGAAGAATATATTTATAATAAAAACTTTTGAAATAAAAATTCTGTACTCATTTTATATAAGTAAAGTATGTATTAAAATATACAAATTCAATTGTAAAAAAGATAACTACTTATATCCATAAAGTAATCAATTGTTTTAAAATCAGGATCTGGTTGTAATATGATGACCTCACAATAGACATTCTTTTACCAAACATTTCGTTAATAAAGCACTCATTGTTCGAATGTTTCATTTTTTATTTTAATGTTTGACATGATCAAACGACCTGCATGAAAATCCCATTATCAACCAAGTTATGTGTACCAGAAAGAGATTACTGTACGCCTATTATGGATTCTATGGAGAAAGATAATTTTTGCCGTTGAGGCTGACTGTGAGGGGGTATGGGAGCGTAGGTGGTGAGTAAAGCTGCCAGTAGGTTCCTGCAGAGTAGCGCGGCCGGCGGGCCCGACGGTGGCGGTGGCAGGGGCGCAGCTCCACGATCTAATTCCACGTCCGCGAAAGCTCTGCGTCGACGGACACGCTCATTCCAAGCTGGATCATTTGAATATGGCCGGTCACCTGTACCCAAGTAACATAACGTTATTTTTTCGAAATTAGAACAGTGAAAAGGGATACCTACTGATTTGGAAGGAGAAATCTACTTCTAGATAGATAAAATTTGCAAATGTTAATTGCATGGATCACTGTTTAGAATCTGCGCAAACGAGCTACTTAAATCCTGTAGTGAACTTAGGATGGTAGAAAGGATCTACTGAGAATTAACTGCATCATAGGTTATTTTTGCCAATATACTATAGGTACTTACATAGATCCTATACTAATATCTTGAATAGAACAACAGAATATAGAGTCGTTTTGCAGTAGAGTTGGGTCAGTTGGTCCCTTGTCTGTGTCGACTCTTATTGGTCCAACGGTCCAACCATCGATTTACTATGGTCAAAAGGGTTTGCGATTAGGTATTAGTTTGTGAAGATTTCAGAAATTT